TTAATTTTACTAAAAATTTCAATTTTGTATGTATAGTTAAAGCAACTTCAAGTAAAGAGAATTCCTACCAACCAATAGCGATTAGGATATGGTAGCAATACTCACATCCTACCTAAATCTATATACAAAACCCCAAACCCATATAAACTTCACTCATACCTCATCCATAATCAATAAATTTATTTGGATTTGGATAAAATTGTAAACCCTACCCTCAATTATAACTTCAGTTGCGATGTTCCAACTGATTCGACCAGCTGCCCTCAACCACATATATTTTTGTTGTAATGGCGCATGGAAGAAAATCAACAATATTTTTGTTGTAATCCATAGTGTGAAAGTGGAGAAAATACTAAACAATCACACATAGACGCATTATATGGTTCAACTGGTTCGATGATTGGGTACGTACGTCCACATACATAATATATAAATTTCTCCAGCTGAAATCAAATGATGGATTGACGTTTTCAACGCATTGGTATAATGATATTCTATGTTACTTTTACTTCTAAAACTCATACGAAACAACTAATTGGATTCTTATTTACTGAATTAACTGGAAAACGACGTACATAATTATAGTAGAACCTTAAAAATTATTATTTTTTACAACTCATATTGGCTACAAGGACTTGGTAACTTACTCCAAAGAAACTATCTTTTGGTACCAAGTAAATTAAGAATTCAGTTCATTTTAAAAAGAATTACGGTGTACAATTCATAGTCAAACGAATTAATGTGTACAATTTATTGTCAAATGAATTTATGTCATCCTGTGTTTGGTATGTCATATTCAAATCTTTAGAAATAACTAATTGAACTACCAAACCATGTTTGGCATACATACAGAATTAAATGAATTAAAAGTTTTCAACTACAACCTTATTAATTTTAGGCAGAAACAATATTCATCGAAAATTCATCTTCTAAAAAAAACGTCTTTGGTCCCATACGCGCAGAATTTCATAAGTATTTTTGTGTGTTTCTATTTTATTCATTAATTCTTTTCTAATATTTCGGCGATAAAACATACATTCTAGTTGTGACTTGTCAGCATACTGATACAACCGAAGCATAAAGATCATATAACCAACTTATTCTACTAGCGTTGCAATCAAATTCTTGTCGTCATTCCTCATAGTGCATGAACTGGCATCAAATAATATATGTAGAAGTAATTTAGTTAATAAATGAAGATAATTAAGTCATTCTATTATTAAAAAAATTTAAATACTTATGGAATTCATTTGAAAATTCCATCTCAATTCCTCGAAATCGCTATAACTAGTTCCAATTCCGTAGAATTCAAAATTTAGAAATAAGAATGAATTCTTTTAAATACCAACCACAAAAAAAAAATCATTTCAAAATGAATTCATCAAAACTTATAGACGTCATGTATACCAAACAATATGTTAAACACTTCAATAACTAATATTCCTAAACAATAACTAAAACCGACTAAACAATTAAATATAATACAAATAATCCAACTTATCAAAATATACAGATATATATAATAGTAAACTTGGTAGCAGTTTTTCATCATCTCGAATTTACTCTCTGCAAAACCAAACATAAGAAGAGTAGATTTGTTTTTACCTAACAATAATAATGAAATTGCCCCAATAAGCTCGTAATCATCATCTGATTGCGGCTAATCTCATATGACCTCTTCTCCCGGCCGGCCATGGCCGGCGCCGGCGAAGTTGCATTAATGGTCTCCTCATAACAAATTACGTACGTACCAACCACACAAAATTAGCTCCCGACTTTCCCCCACGTTGTCACTGAAGCAAAATAGTACACTGAACACAGACACGTCATGGAACCGTACATAAATCAATGTCGTATATATCCTCGTTTTCTGACAGCCAAAGATTCCAAAAGTTTGTTCTACTGTGCCCACGTTTTTCCAATTAAGCACACAAATAACGGATCGGAGATTGGGCTTTTTCGTTCCTATATATATATATATACATATGATTCATGTCACCAACTCTTCTTTTGTCTAACTTGTCACATTTGGTCAAGTAACTGTGCATCGTATGGAAACTCAATTACTTCTAGGGGTGGTTGGTTTAGTGACTGAAGGGCAGGAGAGAAGTCAGGATTTTGACGTCACGGAGGTCGAACATAGAATAACTATGTGTTTTTTTTTTCTTTTTTTGAATAAAATGAATTTAAGTTATATATTAATCACGTGTTTTAAAAATTACCATTTAAAAAGTTATTTATATATACCAAGGAGAAAAAATTAAAGATCTTGCATTTATAGAGAATGAAATCATATATGTCATGGCACTATCACTATCTAGTTCATAAAGACTGCTGAAATGCCGATATGGATTCAAGTGATATATCATAATGAGCTATGCCTACAAATTACTCTATGAAAGATGGTATTATGGTCTGCACTCCGATTGATAACAAATGCAGATTGTGGCACATTTTTGGGTACATTTTTCTACCCAAAGGAAATGTGATGCAAGTTAATCATTTCTTAACTTCAACTTGATGCTCATTGGGGGAACTAACTACAGATCTAACATTTTATTGTTAAATGTTGCTGGTTTGATAATCAACCCCAAAAGCAGTTGTCTTCCCCAAGGTGCCAAATCAGTACTATTCATAATCGTATGAAGATTCTGTGTGTTTGTGGAAAAGGAAATTAACCTAAAGCAACTATCATCAGTGTTTGTCATTAAGTCCAAGGAGGTTAAAGGCTCGTTTGCTTGTTGATTTGAAAATGAGGATTTTGAATTTTCAAAACTTTTGGATTTACGATGGATTTGTTGCATTATGGATTTGGAAGAGTACATTGTTTGTGTAGTTTATTTTTGTTATAGATTCATGATGGATTTGTTTACATTTTGCCTTTCATTATCAAATCCCAAATGAAATGTGGGATTTGCAAATCCGTGGGGTCCACAGATTTGGATCTAAAAAATGGGTCCAAATCCGTGGGTCCCACGGATTTGTGTTCCTTAGCATTAACATAAAATCGAGTGGTTATGATTTAAGAGAAGCTTGATTACCAAATCACTAGTCTATTTGCTTAAGCAAAGTTTAATCACATGTTTTGCAGAGACAAACCGCACCCCACAAATTATAATATTGTTTAACTAGCTTATAACCCGGCCCATTGGCCGGAATGTTCATATTTGATTATTTATATTTTTATGTTACATTTAAGCCAATCAACCGGTTTAATTTTATTGACAATCCTTCGATAGAGATGATACATAAAGAAAGAATATATAGGTCTAACATTCGGAGAAATACTATCATCATTTAAGAATATAAAATATAAAATGTATAATTAATTCCATTTTCATAATGTTAATTAAGCCCTCGTTAAAATGTTATTGGTTAGTTGGTTTTCAAGAAAGAGGATATAAAAGATCAGTGAAATTCCACACGACCCATAAATAGTTTGAAACTAAATCTTAAATCTCACAATCCTACATAAGGGTTTAATTCGCTCCTTTTATGAACAATATGCCACTAATAAAAAAGAAATAGAGAGTTGTTGATTCAAGTCAACTATATACTAACAACTAAGCTAAGAGGGGACCATCAAAACTTGAGAGCAAACGACAAAATTAGGGTTATCTCCAACACACTAATAGACTCAATCAAAGTAATAAGGCACAAAATTAGACACTCCTTGTCTATCAGTTCCAGTAGGTTGAATAAAGAATCGACCTACTTCAATAAATCAATCAATGATTCCTCGTTTTAAGATAAAAATATGTTGTGATAGATGTAAAAACCATAAACATAAGATCCAATAGCCACCACTCTTCCTTGTACAGCCAAAATTTTTTATTATCTCAAGAGACATATTTTCAACCAAAAATTCAATTTCGAATCCTCCTTCTGCAACTCCATTATTTATTAAACTCTTTTACTTTTCCAACTTAAATCCGCAAGAATAAAACTGACGTGCCAAGATATATCGGATGATTGATTTTCAAAGGCGGCCTTGTATTGGAAAGTGAAAGGGGCGCAAACTATTGTACGTTGGAGGGAATTTCCGAGGAAGTTAGAAAGAGATATGAACAAAGATAAAACCACAAATTTAAATTGAAAAATGCAAGGACGCAACACGTAGTGACAAAATTAGTTTTTTCGCCAATTGCCAATTTACCTTTAGCAAAAATTAAGGAGAGAGAAAGAATTTTAAAATTGAGAAAATTACATGAAACTCTACTATGAAAATTGAAGTATCAAGCACCATAAAAATATATACGGTATACTTAGTGGGCTTGCTAATCATGATGGAAAGTCCTGTGATTTTCAGAGAGTTGAACTTCGTGTATATTTTGTATTCGAAAAAACACAACAAATTTGTTCAGCATAAATGGTTGTTATTGTTGTCTTTATTTGAAGAGACCCGGGTTCAAATCTTGATATTGATATTTTTTATGTGAGATAAATAATTAATTGTAAAGACAAAAATGTCCTTCCTACGTTCACTCTCGTTGCAGGAAATTTGAAATGAAAAATAGTACACAAAAGTGTACTATATATTATTGGGGATTTCTGGACCAAGTCACGTTTGATACGGTTTTGCACTTATTAATTAAATCCTTTAATTTCTAGGCTAAATTAATAAATTTAATTGGATCTCGCAATCTGTACTTTGGGAATATAGAAATTCAGAAAGTTGGCCGGTAGGTTATTGGGAGAAAGTTAATCTGCTAACTTGAAGATTCGTTAGCAGATACTAACTGATATCCAAATTACATGAACTAATATACAAGTACTAAAGTATCTAGAGAGTACAGACTAGTATTCAAAATTTGCTAACTGATATCCACCATGAATCAACTATTATCCCAAATTCACAAACTAATATCTAGACAACACAGAATAGTATCCAAACAGTACATAATTAGTATCCAAAAACACATAAGAGTATCCATATTGAATATTAGTTGATTGATTGTGGATATTAGTTGGTATTTGCTATCTGGATACTAGTTTGTGATGTTTTGAATACTAGTTTATGATATCTAGATACTAGGGGTGGGCATCGGTTTGGTTCGGTCAAAACCGAACCAAAATTGAGTATACCGGGTCTACCGAGCACCCTACACATGAAACTGAAATCGAACCAAAATATAATTCAGTTCGATTTAGCCGAACTGAGTTATATTCCGGTTTGGCTCGGGATCCCGACCAAACCCGAAATTCTAGACCCTTCCTCTTTTCTTTACACTCTCTTCGTCGTTTTTCCTCAAATCTTCCTCTCTCTCTACCAACAAACATCCTTCTACAGTTCTACCTTCCTCTGCTCGTCAAACCACTCCCTCCATCTCCTTCAAATCCGCTATTCTTCCAACCCTGATCTTTCACCCAACTCCTCCATAAATCCGCCTCTCACCTCCTCCAGTCCTCCTCTTCCTTCCCCCTGTCCAACGTCGTCGTATGCCGCCGCGGGTCTGGGATAGGGTGTCGCCGCCGCAGACGACACGACAAGACCATCTCAGAACACGGCGAATCTGCTCTGTCTCTCTTCCATCTTCGAATCCACTGACGACGCCGATTACTCCAAGTTCATACGATTCTTGCCGCCAATGCCACCAATCCCGCATGCAAAAGGTGAGATCGATCGGCGACGAGGGCATCGACGAGGGCGAAGCTGCGATTTATTGGTTGCTTGCGGCGTCGGATAGGAGATGAGATTCGGCGATGCGACGGTTCATGGAGGCTTCCGGAGATGAGATTTGCATTTGGCCATTATTCAATGTTCATTGTTGATGGCGGCTGCTGTGTAGGATAGGGATAGAGATGGGATTGGGCTTAGGGTTGTATGGGGGTAGGTTTGGGATGGGATTGGGCTTAGGCCTTAGGATCATGTGGGTTGTGGGGGCCTTGGTTGTGGGGGCCTTGGTTGGGGGAGAAGAGTTTGGGCTTGGGGAGAGTGGGTTGTGGGGTTTTGGGCTTAATTAAGGGGTGGGCAACAGAAATTCGGTTTCTCGGTTTCTCGGTTCGGAATTCGGGTTTGGTTTAACTGTCTTGGTTTCCAAAATATTCAAGTTTCCTTTCCGAATTCCAAACCGAACAATATTGATTCGGTTTTGTTCGGTTTGGGTTTACCGAACCGGATGTCCACCTCTACTAGATATTTAGCAAACTTGGATATTAATTCATACATTTTAGATATTAGTTAGTGTATACTAACGAATCTTTAAGTTAGTAGATTAACTAGGCTGGGTTATTGGTGGTTCAGTATTCAAAATAAAAGGTCGGCGTCATAAAAAAATTTGTTAATTTATTTTTATCTGTTCCCAAAATTCAATCTGAAGGTGTATAGCCGATTAATCTGCATCTCTTTTTTCCGGATTTAGTTTTATTTGTTGATACAATTATAGTTAGAAATTAAACACTTTGCATAATAATTAGAAGAAACCACTCGTATACATCGTATCAGTTATGCAGAAGGGTCATTTGGATTTAGTCGATTGTCGGATTTGAATTTAGATTCGGATTCCGTCTCAGAAACCGTTACCAGATGTGCCAAAGAGGGTTGAGATTGGGGAGGGGTTACGGACAATCACCATGGTTACTAACAGACCGTTTGGTATCAAATGAATCGAGAATTCATTTCATTGTAAAATGAATTATCATGTAGAATTCATTGTCAAATGAAATCTTATGTTTGGTATGTTATATTCAAATCTTTAGAAATAAAATGAAGTGTTGTGTAGAATTCATTGTCAAATGAATTCTTGTGTTTGGTATGTCATATGTATAAGTAATTTAGTTAATAAAAGAGGATAAACATGTCATTCTATTATAATTAGTAAATTCTCGTGGAATTCATTTGGAAATTCCATCTCAATTCCTCGGAATTGCTATAACTAGTTCCAATTCCGTAGAATTCAAAATTTAGAATTGAAAATGAATTCTTTTTAATACCAAACACGGAAATATTTCATTTCAAAATGAATTCCTCAAAACTTATGAAATTCATTTATACCAAACGGTATGTAAGGGTAATTTAAGTATGAAACAATAAATTGTATTAATTAATTTTTTTAATAAATTATATTTTGGGCAGTTTTAAAATTAAATCTATTAATTATAATTCTCTCTCTTATCTTATTTTTCTCAATCTCCATCCAGATCTTGTTTCCTTATTTTTCTCAATCTTTTTGCAAAAATAATAATAATAATAATCATCATCATCAATCCATTAGGCAACAATAAATCAATACCAATCCATTAAAAAACACTACCATTACACAAAACACCTATATCATTCGAGAAATAACAACACTACCATTTCACAAAACATCAATATCATTGCAGATTTAATCAATGCCAATGCGACATAAACAATACCAATGCGGAAAAATCAATACCAATGCGATAAAATCAATACCAATGCGATACCAAAGCGATATGGGAGATGTGTTTGCCATAATAGATAAGGAGAGTGGAAGGGACTACGAATGATCCAATCAATAGTGCTGTTCCGTGGACATTTTTGGAAAAAAAGGAATAAAAGAAAAGAAATTGGGGAGAAGAAAGAGTTGGAGTGGAACTGTGGAAGCTTGTTTTTGTAAGTGTCAAAGGTATACCCTATAATTCAACGAAGAAAGAAATGCAAGCTTGCTTTAGGATTTGTGAGGAGGGAACCGCAGGTCATAGGGATGGAGAGGGACGAAAAAGAAGCTCGTGCGGCGGCGGAAAGAAAATGGGAGAAGAAAGTGGTCGTAGGGTTAGGGGAAAGGAAGGAGATGGTAAGTCATAAATATAGGTAGTAATCATGTGTGTTAATTTTTTTATTCCAATATTAGCCTTAACCTAATCTTAACCATCATTTCAAAAAGAAAAAAATGGAGATAATGAAGGGTGTAGATGAAGGTTGCCACAGTGACTACTAAAAAATTAATAATCATCCTAACTCATCCATTGAGATTGGGAAAGTGGAGGCGGGGCTGAGGGTTATACGGGATGCGCTTGTGGCTATGGTCTATGGATCCATTTAGCCTTCATTGCTTGAGCTCTCTTACTCCTCATTAGAGAAACAAGGCGTTGATGGTAGACCTGGCAATCGGGTCGGGTTGGGTAATTTCGGGTCGATACTTTCGGTTACGGGTCGGTCGTGTTTGCTAGGCTAATTTCGGGTCAAATATTGACTCAACCCATTCGGTTTCGGGTCGGGTTACAGGTCGTTTCGGGTTATTAACGTTCTCGGAAACAATATCAAACATGCTTCATATTTTCTTTAAGAACACAAATTTTCACAAATGCATGACAACAGTTTACCTAACACATGTCCATTAACATATTCTCAAATCTTCCCATGCTAATTAAATGAAATACAAATTACACAAATCGTCAAAAAAACAATCACAAGAGTAATGTTATTTTACAAGAAACACATGATATTTGATTATCCTTAAATTCCAAATATATGTCATTCAAATCCATGTGAATTTTTTTTTAAATATCTCACCAATTTATGAGTGGTTTTATCATTTTGGGAGTGATATCTAAAATGGAGCGGGTCTAACGGGTCGACCCGCTAACCCACCCAACCAGACCCAAAAAATTGTGGGTTATCGGGTTTCGGGTTATTAAAACTTCTACTTTTTGAGCGGATTCGAGTCGGGTTGTAATTTGCCAGGCCTAGTTGATGGGTCTTCACTAGGATTTAAGATGTTGCGCCGCCAAACCACTAATTGATTTGACGGTTAGTGGTAACTACTAAACAAACCAAACCTATAAGATTTATCATTTCGGTAGCAGTTACTTTGTCGATTAACCACATCTATATGCGACATTTTTTGTTTATTATTTTTAGTTTTTTATGGTGTCTTTCTTTGTAGTAAAATATAATTATACAAGTAATGCAGAAAAACTTAAATATGCTTTTACATTATTAACATAAAATAATTATTATTAGAAATAACATCAATACAATACAACGTTTATCATGAATTCATAATGCAAACCAAATTCAAATACGTAAAATCAAAAGTAGTCAAACGTATTCATCCAATCCGCGAATACCAATTAGTAAGATATCAAACACAAGCACAATAAGATCATCATCATTCGCAAACAACAATGAAACAAGGGTTTGAGGTTCGTTTTGTTGACCTCAAAGGGAATGGAGAAGAGTGACTTTGAGTTCTGACTCTTTGAGACATTTGAGGCTTTGGTGCCAACACTCAATCCCTAATATGTTTTTCGGTATCCATATATAACAAATAATAAATTAATTTCCTTCAAAATTCTCAATCAAATATATAAAACCAAATATTTATCCTCTGATAACAATTTCACAAACCATTCTGAAAATATATATAAAAGCAAATAATGGTGGCAACACTCATGCAAAACAAATGAAAAAACTCAAAAGTTTAATAACAACAAACTAGGGAATGTGATGCCTAAGAACTAAGAAGCACATTAACAAACTAAAGCAACAAATTGAAATAGGGGATGACTAAGTAGCCCATAAACATATACAAGTAGGGAAATGAACTTGTTTGGATTGTCCAATAGTGAGAGAATCGACTATGTATAATTATGAGGTTATTTTTGGCCGTTGATGATCTGGTAGATGTGACTGAGAGAGTCTAGTTGGGAGGGACAAAATACTCACTAACTTATATTTTCATATATTTTGATATTTCGGTATGTACTGATTTAAATCTCATATAACACTTGAAATTTAATTTTAATCCTATAAAATAATACGGTAATACCAAATATCAAGTTATCAACCAATTCAGTATTTGATATTATCTAAGTACTAAGGGGTCGTTTGGAAGTTGCGATTGTTTTGTTGAGATTGTCATTATGCATGTATTGTTTACAATGCATCGTTTTTTTTGTTTTTTTTAGCAGAAACAATACATGGATTGTTTCTATGATGTGACAGCAACTATCACTCATTTTGAGTGATTGTTATATCTCAACTTTTAGTTGTGATTGTTGAGATTGTTTTGTCTCAGCTTTTAGCTGATGCGACATACACAATTACACATACCAAACATTGTATTCTACAATGCATCAAATTCGACAATACATATATAATATTATACATGCATTCTCAACAATACATCTATTTAATAATCGCAACTTCCAAACGACCCCTAAGTACCAAACTTCCAACAGTAATATGGTCCATCAATTCCGCAAAACACAAGGAATACTAATTGGGTTTTGAGACCCATTCTCAAAAGCTCTGTCACAGTGGCCCAACATAAAGTTTGATGGGCCTACTCTAAATCATTGGCCCACTCAATCTTCGATAAAATGGTTATTAGTTAAATACAGACACCCCTGGAAAAAATTCCCAACTTCGCAAAATCGCAACACTGTCCCTTTTCTCCCAAAAAACTCGAAATCCTTCGGTTCCTCTCTGTCGATCGACCAACCCTAATAGCCTTCACTCGACGGAGATGGATTCAGACGTAGCCATGATCCCGGCCGGCGAGGGAGGCTCCAGCGCAGCAGCCGGACCTTCTTCTTCTAGCAAGAAGCCGAAGCGCTTCGAGATCAAGAAGTGGAATGCCGTCGCTCTCTGGGCTTGGGGTTCGTTCGACGAAACCCTAAATCTCTACAGCATCGTCGCGCTATCTATCTATAAACCTCGTGTTAGTGGATGGATAATCTGATGCTCATTGCGCCTAATTTTGTTTTCTTCTCGCTGTACAGATATCGTGGTGGATAACTGCGCGATTTGCAGGAACCATATCATGGATCTCTGTGAGTTTTCTTCGTCGCTATGGGTTTTGCAATAACTTTGTTCGTTCTTCGTAATGGGGATTTGCTTTTGTCGTGGTTAGGCATCGAGTGCCAAGCCAATCAGGCCAGCGCAACCAGTGAGGAGTGCACTGTCGCTTGGGGTAGGCATTCCTTATCTACTTAATCGCCCGAAGATTTGGTACTTATTCGTATTTGAGTTAGAATGAATGCCGAATTGGTTTGTAAGGGTCGAATTGTATACTACATAGCTTCATTAACTTGGGAAGGCCCTCGTTTTTGGTTAATTGTCAGAGTTTAGCTGGTTGCCCTCTGAGAATGTATAGCGGCATTGAACTATAAAGAATGGTGCGTGTAACTGTAAATGATGGTTAGGCTTGTGAATACTTCGTATATTGGCTGGCGGGCCATTCTTAGTTATTTAATCTCTCACTGCATCTAGCCGTTCTGAATGTTTCTGTTAGGAAAGGTGGAGATCGAACGTTACATGTAGGGTTGGTAGATAGATTCACTGCGTTATAATTTTTTTGGAGAATGATCTCAATTGTTGCGAGTCTCTGGATGTTTTATGTCTAGTTTTGGATATGTTGGATCATGAACTTATGGCTCCCTTCATATTGAGAGGTAAAAGCAATCTGTTTTTGCTTGGTTGGAAAGTATGAGTTAGATGTGTAGAAAAACTCACTATTGAGGTTTCACTGCTGCTGTGATGATATGATGGGGATCATATTTTTCCTCAAGATTTTTAGATTATTTTGAGCTTCAATGCGAAGGCTTGGTATAGTAAGGTCTAGATTTTTGTATGTTAGTTGATACTTCACATGTGTTGTTTTGCCTGTTTGGCTGTTGTTCTGTATTGAATAAGCTACATCTCACTGTTATGCATGGAGAAGCTTCTGATTCCGGCTGATAGAGTGCTCATCTGTGTGCTGCCCCTTACACTGGTGTGGCAACATGCAAATTGTTCCCTATCAATTTAGCATTTTCTCATACCTTGTAGAGGAATGTTTTGATCAATGAGTTCGTTTCTAATTTCCCGATTTGTCCATTCATCTACTTCTGCACCAAAATATATTCATCTACTTCTGTACCAATTATATTTCAGCTCTACTTAGTTTCACTCTTTGATCGGTCAAACCAATACTGACTCCCTTCTCTCGCTCAGGTGTCTGTAACCATGCTTTCCACTTCCACTGCATCAGCCGCTGGTTGAAAACCCGCCAAGTCTGCCCTCTTGGTACGTTAAAAACTCTTTACATTGTCCGAACTCTGTTATCTCATTTGAGGTGTTAAAATCCCACATCTTACATCGGCTTTATCCTTTCTACAGATAACAGTGAATGGGAATTCCAGAAGTATGGGCACTAGTGGACTCAATAACTTGAACATTGGAGCCAGGGGGCGCCGAATTTCATAATGTCTCACGAGCCATTCCAAGGAGTTTGTAAATGGGCATTCGCAGTAAGGAAACACTAATCAAACACTTGTTCCTTTGGTTTTAGTTAAGCTGGTCGCTATTATAGCTGTATTTTGGGTGGATGGCATTTTAGGTCGAGTGTTACTCTTCTATCCTGTTGAGCAAGTGATTAATTGAGATGTTGGTACATGCTCTTATTCCCTATTTCGCCCTCTCTATCAGAACCCTTTCTGTTCTGTTATTTTTATTCTCTATATCTGAATGGGTAGGCGGATTTCATGTTCCAATTTTGCCGGTGATACTAGTTGAAATTTTGTAGTCAACATATTAGCAGGTTTGCAAGTAAAATATGAAGCAGCTGACTCCATTGTTGCAAGTATGGAGTATGAACCAGCTGTTTCCCATTGTAATCCCAAGTCTCAACTAATCAATTCAGAATCATATGAACCACAACATGGAGTTTTATATGGTACATATGTACATTCGAATTCGATGCTCCACCATCAATGGAGAAGTAATGTAAACACATTCGAACAGGCAAATGCAGGTGTCCTGTCGATAATAAACCATAGTACTAGGCCTCTGAGTTGACAATGCCCCTTTTAAATAGACTCCACAGAACCTCCCTGCCTCCATTGCACAGCAATCGGACTCCTAACCTTGTGCACTCCATCGCTCCACTCAACGAACCCGAAGCTCTGCGTCGCAGCGTTCGAGAGACCTACGACTGAGCTCGAGAATGTAATCTCGTACGCCAGAGACGGGCTCTCCTTGCTGAACACGAGCGTGGTGGGCGAGACCTTGACATCCACGTTCGTCGGAGCATTCACTTTGAGCTCGTAGACCGCATCGACCGAGCTCCCAACATTCTTTACCACCCTCTTGTATGTAACCACGTCAAATTTGGGCTTGAACACGACAGAGAACGACGGGTAGTTCAGATCCCCTGGACCAGCTGCCAGCGCCGCCGCGTGCTCGCAGGCGTCCGATGCAATGGGCTCGCCGAAGATCACCGCGATCCTCGAGGCGCTGTACCCGATCGAGCAGAGGAAGGAGACGTAGTCGGTCGTGTTGAGGTCGTAAATGAGACCGGGGCTCACAGCGCCATTTGGAACCACATGGCCTGCTCCGTACACAAATGGAGTCGTCCCTTTGCCGCTAGCGAGATCATTGATGTTCTCGCCGGCGTTGTCTACTGTCGTCGCCGTTGTTATCATAGCCGATTTTATTGCTGCCGGAGACCAATCGGGATGTGCTCCCTTGAGCAATGCGGCTAGGCCGCTAACATGTGGGCAGGACATTGAAGTACCTAGCAATTTGATCAAAAAATGAAACAGTAAGTAACAATCCAATTGCTTTTTTTTTTTTTTTTTTTTTTGACTGAGGGTGTGGAAATCGTAAGATGGTTACCTGAAATGATGTTGAATGTAACTCTTCTGGGATCAATCTCGAGATCCGATGGAGCAGCGGCGCCGGTCCAGCCAGCCAAAATGTTAACGCCGGGAGCAATCACATCCGGCTTGAGGATCTCCGGCGTGACCCGATTCGGGCCCCGACTGGAAAACGATGCTACTTTGGGAGCCGGCGAGGTGCCTTCTCCAATTACAGTTCCCCTGAACTGAATCGTCGCTGTTGGAGACGCAGCCGATTCAATGTATGCGCGAATTTTATCCCCTTCCGTCGCTCCAACCATTGTCGCCGGGATGAGATGAGCGTCGGCGAGAAGCTCGTCCCCTTCCAGATCCGTGTTCGCCATGATCATCCCGATACCTCCGGCGAGCTTGACGGATGCCCCTTTCTCGACTCTCGCATTCCCGCCGCGGTCGCACAGCACGATCTTCCCTTTCACCTTCGCCGGGTCGAGGTAGCCGGAATAGCAGTACCTGCTCCCGCAATCGGCGCTGTAAACGAGAGGCAAAAGTTCCCCCTCCGCCAGACCATCTCCGCCGTAGAGCGAAACTCCAGCGTGCACGCTTCCATCTCCGAGGACAACATCGGCGGGGAAATCACGGTCAACGGTGGACGCCCCGACGGTCAAGATCCACGGAGCGATGTTCGTCGCCGTGTAAGCTCCTGGTCCAGAATTCCCAGCCGAACAGGAAACCACAATGCCCTTCCTCGCCGCCGCGAAAGCTCCGATCGCTATCGAATCGCTGTCGTACGGAGGCGCGTAGCTAGCTCCGACGGAGAGGGAGATGACGTCGACGCCGTCGTCCACCGCCTGATCGAAGGCGGCGAGGATATCGGAATCGAAGCATCCCGGTGACCAGCAGATCTTGTAGGCGGCGATCCACGCGCTCGGCGCCAGCCCCCGCGCGTCGCCGGAGGCGTAGCCGAACAGGCTGGCGTTCGTTACCAGAGATCCGCCAGCTGTCGACGCCGTGTGAGTCCCGTGCCCTTCCGTATCTTTCGGAGATTTCGATTCCACGGTTTCGTCGATCGGCCTTCCCCTGTAGCTCTCGTATCCTTTGTAAAATGCTCTGGCTCCGATCAGCTGTTAAGAAACAGAGGATTCTTTCAGTCAAATCCAATTGTAATTCGTCTTACTGTTGAATTTGATTTACGATTTACGAACGAAACAACTGACTGACCTTCCGATTGCAAGCCGCGGCGGGGAAGTCCTTGCCGGACTCGCAGATCCCGCGCCACTTGGCAGGGATTTTGTGGTCGGCGGCGGCGGGGAAGGCGGCGTCGTCGAAGCTTGGGTGGAGGGGCCAGATCCCGGTGTCGAGGACGCCGATGATGACGCCGTCGCCGTTGGCGGAGTTGAGGGAGAGAGGGGAGGAGGGGGAGAGGCCGAGGAAGGAAGGGGTATGGGTGGTGTGGAGGTGGCGGATCTGGTCGGGGACGACGGAGAGGATTCCCGGCGCGTGAAGGAGGCGGGAGGCTTGGTCGGCGGTGAGGGAGGCGGAGAAGCCGGCGGCGGCGTGGGAGTAGGTGTAGAGGAGGGCGGAAGGGTGGGGGAGGATGGAGGCGTACCAGTCGCGGTGGGAGGAGAAGAGGGCCGGCTTGTGGGATTTGGACACGTGGACGATGAAGGTTTGGGGGCGGGAGGAGGAGGCGGCGGCGGATGAGGAGATTAGGAGGAAGAGGATGGAGAGGAAGATAGCGCCGGCCGCCATGGTTGTTGTGAGTGAGTGGGAAGATGGAGGAGTGATGGTTGCTGAGAAATTGTAGGAGGAGAAGAAGAAGTAGGGAACGGATTGGGGGAAGGGACTGAGTGAAGTCTCTGAATCTTGGAGCTTATTGGTCCACGTTATCCAACTAGATTAAAATAAAATATCTTTGTTTGGATACTTTTGCAAGAAACCAATAATTCTGGACAAGTTAGTTTTTTGTTCATACTTAGTTAGAATTCCTCTCCTTATTAAAACGACGTTTTTTCATTGATTTCTTCATTAAATGGTAAGTGTTTCATCAAATTGCTACATTTGAGGAATTTTCTAATGTTGTCCATGTGGGTTGTGGCTAGAATTGTGAAATTAGGGGGCAAGATCATCAAGATGGGTCTAAATCTTAAAGATGCATTTCTCATAAATTTTTTTTGTATTTTGTAATAAAATTGTGATTTAAATGTAATTCCAACCGTTTTGTGCCATTAAAATTATTCGTTGATTTGAGATCTGGAATTCGATATTTCTGGTTCATCCGGTCGGTAAAGTTTCTAAAGCATTGATATATGTCATGGTATGACTCTAATTAACAACTTTACAATCCTAAGCACCGGAAGTCTAGAACAAATATTTTATTTTCTTCCTATTTTTTTGAAAACCCTCGAGTAAAGAGTGTCCAATGGGAGGATGGATGGATGGGTTAACTTACATCATGAAATCTCTATTTATCCATTTAAGAACATTTTATGATTGAAATATTCATTCACGTAGAATAAATATGAACTATATAAGTTTGATAAACTAAACTTACCTACTTGTATGAATGGAAAAAGAGAGCAAAAAAAAAAAAAAAAAATCATCTACCTACCTCACATCACATGAACAAAACTACAATAGGCAAATTGGGTGGAGATAAGAGGAAGAGGATGGATAGGATCGTAATAGAGATATGGGTATGGGAGCCCATTCGTATATAATATTTTTGGTCAACTTGGTATAACAAAAAAACTGAAGATATTCCCATGTACATGCTTTTGGTATTGTCTTAAGTTAAGTGGTTCATGATCAGAGTAATAAATTATACTGTCGAAACTATATTATCGAAAGAGATAAGAAGTTTTAACACCTGTAATAAGGAGAATTGGGAAGAATTTGAAGTTTGGTTGCATGAAATATTTATATAATCTGTCAACAACCACCACAAAGTATAAAAGCCTCATGTGAAGATTGTGCTATTGAAAGCATGGACTTGTTTTCTCGTATTATCAAAATCTTATTCCCTTACAATAAAGAGAATAGTTACCGTAAAAAAAAATGAAGAGAATAGTTATATAAGAAACTCATAAAAAGGGAGAAATATTTGCGTATATTAGTGTGCTATATATGGTTTCATACTTCCATAGTTAAAACTAATAAACCAATGGCTCAAGATGTTTATGAGTATCATTTTCTACTGTAATAAAGAAACTATCAGCTTGACTGTCCATGTTCAATGTACATAAAATTTTGTGGTTAATATATGTGTCATGCGCCCCTTCTATCATTTGTATTTTCGAATACCATATAAAAGACAAGAAAAAAACACGAGGCTCTTTGTGGGCAATAGAATAAGCTAAAAAACGATTTTGCCTTCTATAAAAATTAGTTTTTATTCAATCTGTTGATCGGATAAATTCATCTGATTTTTCATTACTTTATGATGATTAATTCATTTATATTCTCAAATGACTTGGGTGCATATTTAATAGTTTATTAAGAAGTCAAAAGTTATCTTTGTACTACTTGTAACATTAATAATATTAGTTCATATGTATTTTTGTTGATCGGGTTATCATAAATTATTGCCTATATATATTTCATATGAAAAAAATTTATGTCGTAATAACAAGTCTGAGAGTGCAAAATGGTTTCATTATGAGTCCAAATTGTACTATCAGTGATAATATTGCTCCAAATGACTTATAATATTGATATACTAATATTTCAATGATTCGTTTAGTAATTTATAATCATAATATGCAAAATTATGTCATAATTTCTTAACTAAAGTTATATATAAGATTAAAGAGCGAGGGAGGAGAGAGTATGGGAAACTCTGTTGGGCTGGCGATCCCTTTTCCTTAGTACGAATCGACGCCCTCCTCTCCACCTATTCCTCCCTCTCTTAAGTCTTCATGCAGCGCTGCGCAACACAAAATCTGTCGACCCTCTCTGTCTGTCTGCTAGTCTCTAATGCACTTACCGAATACACCGCCGCACCTCGCCCCCTCAGATTTTTCATTTCGTCCGACCTCTCTTCACCAATGACCAATCTCTATCGTCCAATGTTCTTTTGCTAAAAAAAAAGGTGTTCTTTTGCAATGCTTATTGTTATGTTAGCATAAATTCCTTATAAGTATTTCTTAATATCAGTATTATTAACTTGGTTTTATATTATATCCAAATGAAACTAAGAAAATTATGCATTAAAATAGTAATTATAAATCACAAGGGATTATCCTATGACTAATATGGACGCATTAAATTCATCATATAATGGGTTCAAACTTTATGGTCGACAATCATCTAAAACAATAATAGTTAAGAACACATAATTATTAAATACAAATTCATTAGTAACTAATATATATCTTAAAAACGGCCGGCGTCGTTAAGAGGTAGAACTAACATATGATGATAGTTTAAGGCTATTATAATTGTCAAATCCCAAATCTTCTAATCATTTTTTAAACTGTTAACACTCCGTGGCTCAAAATACAATCACTTATTGTGAAAATTGAATTTTCTTAAAAAATTTCATAAGTTCAGGAAAATATAAAATATTTGAAATTTAAATTAAATATATAGGGATTTTAGATTTAGATAATAGAATTTAGTGTTGTATTTTGGTATATAAAAATCAAACACATATAAGATTTGGTTAGTTCTCGCATTTGGAGATCATACAAATATATATTAAATATGAATCAATGGGTAAAAAGTTTTCGTGCCAAATTTATTGACACCTGACTTGTTCTAACTAAAACATCACAATCGACGGTCAAGTATAACCGTCGATCGGGTGTAGCATAGGGCAAGCAAGCAATAAGAATTTATCGTACCATGGGGATCTAGTCTTACCCTACTTCAGGTTTAAGGTTCGTTATCTAGCCAATCCCAGGATAGTGATTAATAAAACTAAGCTAACTAACCTAGACTAGCTATTTACAAGGTTTGGAGCCCTCTTGGGTTGAATCGTCCTTGGTCCGTTCTTTGGATCAGTGTTGGGTATCCTCCTAGTTTGATCGACTCAAATACACTACCGTTTGGAGCTCCCTCGGGAATGACACGGAACGGCAAATTGATGGATGGGTAGTGCTCTATTCAACCCAGGGTTTCATATAATGCTAGGAGACCGGTCGAATAAAATCCCTCGGGGACTACCCGGACAATATACGATAGGAGTGACCCGAAGACGCCAAAAGGGGCTCTAAGGGGATTATATCTCTCCTAGGTCAAAAGCTCAAGACATGGAAATGGAAACCCAACTCAAGCTGTTCGAGATGTTCCCTCAAAGGCGTACCTTCTTGCATCCTCAAGCTGAACAACCGTTGCTTGAGATGCAACTTGTTGGTTAGAGACTTAGTCATGTACAGACTCTCTAGTTTCAACCACAAGCCCGCGGCAGTCTTCTCAGCAGCGACTTCAATGATGACGTCATCAGACAACGATAGCATGATGGTCGAGTGGGCCTTCTCCTCCAGGGTATTCCACTCATCGTCATCGACCGCTGCCTTCTTCTGTTTCGTAGACAGCGGCCCCCACAGCCCTTGCTGTTTTAATAAAGCCTGCATATTGATCTGCCATATAGCGAAGTTGTTCTTCCCCGTGAACTTTTCGATCTTCATGTTCACCGACGTCATTCTTCTGAATCGAAAACCCTAACCTAATTTCCAGCCGCGGCTCTTATACCACTTGTTATAAACGCGCTGCTACGGATCGGGAAATCGCAGGAATCGACAAAGCAAGAATACGAAAGCGAGAATCGAAAACACGACACACGATTTACGTGGTTCACTAACACGATGCGTGTTAGCTACGTCCACGGGCGAGAGAGAGCCAGTTTCACTATATCGAGGAGATTACAGATTACGGAGGAGTATGAGAAGTATTTATAGTACTTCTCCATGTGGGTCTAAACCTAATCCAATCTGGCAAAGGAAACGGTTACAGACCAGACCCAGAACCCGAACCCAAGCCCATACACCGTGGGCCGGGGGCGTTGCCCCCGCACCCCCACTGGGGCGTTGCCCCTGGACCCCACTCGCTGACCGGGCAGCGAGACCCCCAATTACCAGTCGTAGCGGCTGATAGTCCGATTCAAGTCACATCAACAATAATGAAATCTCTATTCATCCGATTGAGGATATTTAACGACTTAAATATTCATCCACGTTGAATAAATATGATTAATGAACAAAAACTTACCTACTTTTATGAAAGGTAAAAAGAAAAAACTCATCTAGCTCCCTAACATCGCCTGAACAAAACTACAATATGCAAATTGGGTGAATGAATGCAGATCTGATTATATTAGGTTTGTGCAATGGAGAGGATATGAGGATAGCATAGGATAAGATAGGATAGTAATATGGACATGGGTATGGGAGTCCATTCATATATAACATTTTTTTTGTTTTGTCAACTTGGTATAACAGAATAACCGAAGAAATTCCAATTTTAGATGCTTTGGAGTTGTTATAAGTGAAGTGGTTCATGATCAAGAGCAATAAATTGTAAACGGAAACTAAATTATCGATAGATTCCTAAAATAAAAAATAATTATCGATAGATAAGAAGTTTTAAAGAATAGTTATATAAGGAACTCATACAAGGGGAGAGACGTTTGCGCATTGTTAATGTGCTATATATTGTATTCATATACTAGATTAATAAACACATATATGCATACATAACTCAGCTAAGCAAGAACACGAATAGTGATGCCGTGATAGCAATTTGAACCTGTCCTGTGGGGATAACTCGATTTGATCCACGATGAGACGGGAATTATCTGACTTGATGTAGCGTGGGGCGGGGAATGAGTATCTAGCTCGGACACGTCCTGACCTATTTCTTACAGTATCTAGTTATATTTCTCCTATTTTGACTTTTCTTCAACTAGTTAGACTCGATCTTTCAACTAGTTAGACTCAATTATCCATGGTGTTATCACTGTTTTTCATTCACAGAGTGTTTTTTCCTTCGTTTTATCGTAAAAAGTAAAATTGTACTTGTATTTTTTTTTTCAAATAACATATACTAGTCGGTCCATCCGCCCTACCCCGTACCCGCACCGATATTTTCCACCCCGATCCACAATAACGTAAAACTAAGTATGAGTAACGAGGTACCCACACCGTCCAATTGCACTTGCTTAACCGCATAAATCTCATATCTCATATTGACCTTGTTATTTTATTGATTAGAACCATTAACTATCTCCTACGTGTCAGGTGTCTGTGAGTCATTGTCCATGAAACCGTACCAGATATTGTATCGGAAAAGTCAGCGATATGATATTTTATGATAAAACCGTGGTTTAACCGCAGTTCGACCGTTAGACCGTTAAATACCGTCTACCGGTTTAGCCTCTAATACTGATATTTCGTGATTAAACCGCCAGTACGGTACGGTTTCATGGACCATGCTGTGATTACACTTTCACAAGGTAGTTATTGAGTACCATAAGTCCATAACCAAATTGTACTATGGTAGATAAGGATGGTCTGTCCAAGTTCAATGTACCTAAAATTTTTGTGGGTTATTAATTATATGCTATGGGGCCCTTCATCATTTGTATTTTCTAAGACCATATAAAACAAAACAAAAAAAAAATAAAGAACACGAAGCTCTTTGTAGTTTTGCCGCCAACAACCACGTCATTTGACTTGGTGGTAATTAACTATAGTAGCCAACAAGACCATGGCCCATTTTCGATTTCCATTGGGCTCGATCGTTTGCTAAGGCCTGCAACCATTAGGGATCGCTCTGTATTGGGATTGGGCTGGATAATGCAATATCCATTACCTTATTTTTCACCTGAGCGTTGGGTAGTATTTGGGCCTACACAGCACGTGCATCCGTTTATCTAGTGTTGTGTTTGGCGATAGTTTTTTTTTTTTAATATCTCATTTTGGTTTGAACTATGATCATATAATTAACTTTGATTCGTGTTTTCAGAAATTAATATTTTAGCCTCAAATATATAACATATAGACTTAATTGGCCCGACACATGGTTTGACCGTCAATTTGGATGGTCAACACCGCTGATCGTTACTCAACATGACGTGTCATTGCCTCGTCAGCCTAATAATCATTACAAAATTGAAATTGAAATTATTTTCCTAATTTATATTATTTATCATTATCAGATTAACCAAAAATTTAAATTAAAATAAATTTTTTTATTTTTTGTGTAATTTGAAAATGATATATTTTATAAATTAACCAAAAATTATCAAATTAATTGGTTAATTTGAAAATAATAAATAATAGAAATTAGAAAAAACAATTTGAATTTGAATTATTAATGATTTTAAGCTGACATGGTGTGTTGACTAACGGTCAAAGGTGTTAACCCTCCAAATTGACGGTCAAACCATGTGTCGGTCCAATTGAGACTCTATGCTGCATAGTTGAGACCATGATGTTAATTTCTGAAACCATGGGCCAAAGTCAATTATATGGTCATAGTTCGGGCCTATTATCCTTTTTTGTCATGTGTATTTTGCAAATTTGTTAGGCCTTGCCCGGATATTTAGGTTGTTTTTTTTTTCAAATTTTTTTATCATTTTTGTTTATGGTAGTGATTACTAATTACATATAATATGTTTATGATAACTTTTAACAATGAATAATTATTTTTGGTGTTGTAATAGTTGAACTTATAATTTTCTTCATATTTATTTTCTGTAAAAAGATGTGTTCTTTTTGTGTCATGTCGTGGTATACTCGTTAGTCTCAAAAATATTATATCCGACATGACCCACTTATATCATTAAAATGCTCGTGCCCATGAAGTTTAGGTCCTTTACAATTCATATATTATTTGTGCTAGTGCCGGACTGACCCATATATTTCATGCTCGTGTTGTGCTAGCTCATCGTCGGACCGGACTATTGCCTTGGTACACCCTACCCAAAGTAGTTCGGGTTTTTCCTATACCCATCCCACACCAGAATTAGGTAGAAAATCAAATCCAACGATCGGGTTTCAAATATCAATGGTTATCCATAGGGAGCAATTTTTGGGAAGGTCGAGAGTTTTTTTTATGAGCAACTTAATTCACCCCCTTTGGCTGGCATTCCCCAAAGCAATATCATTGTCACTCAAAATGAAAACTGTAGCAGCTATTGAACTCATAGACAGCAGCATGACTTGTAGCAGCAACAGCAGCAATTGTTCGAACAACTAGGACAACAACCGTTCACCTTTGTACAGTTACTACAAGATAGACACGATGATGGATTCTTCATTAGGCAACAACCATTGCAGTTGCCCCTCTTGCAAGTTGGTTTCCCCCAACAACTGCTGCAATTGGAGTTGGAGTTGGAGTCGGAGCCGGATTGGCGGCGGCCGCTGCTCTGACGCCGGCGGCAGGTACAACAGGACAGGCATTTGGGGAGTCGAACGTGGCATTGACATTCACTGAGGCAGCAACCCCATGGCCGACTGTCGAGGGTAGTTGCAAAACAATTGTACCACACTTGTTAGTCTTATTTTTGTGTCACAAACACAAGCATAAAAAGGTTGCCTTGCCTCCCAAGAGTTATTTCGTCCCTCTATCCATCTAGGTAGATAATTGGGAATCATGCCCTAATTGCAAGATTGAAAGCTTTATTTAATTATAAGCTCAATTAATGAAAGAGGGTAATTTGGTTTTACCATAGTTGCTTCCAGGAGAGGCAGGGCTTATGCAACAGATGAGACTCCTCTTTTCTGCAGCAGTCAAGAAAGAAAGATCAAAGAAAAGGGATTAGGCTCTAGCCTTAAACCACAGTATCTGGTGCACATGGGGAACTCTTTGAATGAAGTTGAGAAGTTAGAACAGAAAGGCTTACTTTGAGATGAAAGGATCCTGTCTACCATCAACATATTCATGAACCCTGTCATTCCCAAATGCAAACCAGTGTTAAAACAGGAACTAATGAAGCATTTGCATTTTGCAGGGGGCGAAAATCAGAGTAATGGAAGACGAAGAAGAAGAAGAAAGATGAAGGCCTAGCTGAACTTACTCTCTGCAGCACTTTGAAGCTGGTTGAAGGACGTCCACAGCTTTCAACTCTTCCTGTTTCATCAAATGGAAAAGAAAAAAGAAAAAATACATTTTCACTTTGCCGCCTTTAACTTGTAATGATGATGTTGGATGAGAGGGCTCGTGATTAACAAACTGTCGTGTTCGAATCTTCACGACGCTTACCATTAAAAGTTCTTTCAAGTACATGTTTATGATATTACCATATACAAACTTCAATTCTAATGTGTCCTGAAAGTGGGTAACTAGTTCTTCTTGACATAAACAAAGGAGGAAAAAAAATTGTATTTTCTCTTTTGGGCTCCACTTCCAATTTCAGCTTAAAATGAACAAAAGGCATGGACTCTGGATTCATCACCACTTAATCATGTCCCCCAAAAGGAATGCCTCTCGATTCCAGAATCAGCAGAGCACCATCACAAAGTGAAAACAACATACTATAGAGGCAAAAAGAGAGGCAAGCTTCGAAATTGAATGAAAAGATATGAATTACTACAAAAGCTAACAAAAGATGAAGCAGCAGCAGAAGGGAGGATGATTAGTTACTTGAAGGAGGGCAATCTCTCTTTCCAAGACTTGAACTTTAACAAGCTGCCTCCTCTTCCCATACATATCCAATGAACCAGAAGGAGGGGACTTTGGGCTCACTGGGCCAACAACAACTACACCAACTGAAGAAGAAGACCCACTTGAGGAAGCTCCTGATGATGATGAACATGATTTCAGACTCCTCCCATTTTCCATCCCTCCTTCAGAAAAATAAAAAAAACCCCAGGAACCCAGAAGAGAAAAGGGAAGAATGAAGGGAACCCAGAAGCCAAAATTTGCACTTTTGCAGCTAATTTAAGCCATATTACTAAGTTTCCAACTGCCAACCACTACATCTGCCTCTGGAACAAAAAAATGGGGTGCGACTGAGTTATGAATGCAGCAGAGTTAATTATCATTGGCGAGTTTTAAAAGCAAAGCTGATGGCAATAAGTCCGTGGATTCAGAGAGAGAAGAGAGAGGAAGACAAAATTTTGAAGTTTGCAGCAGCAGAACTGGGCTCTGCAGAACACACGTGACTGCAAACTGTAAGTCGTAAATAGGAAAAATGGTCCTGCAGCCGCTGTTTCTAGCTCTCTAGTCTCTTATTGCCTTTATTTTCTCTCTGCTTTGATTTTGCTTCCCAACTTTGTATTCTCTATGTTACACCTTGCAACCAACTTGTTCACTTCCCTTTAAAAAATAGTTCCAAACTCCTGAGTCCTTAACCTCTAAACAGAGTACTAATTGCTGCTGACACACCTTCCAACAAAGACAACTTACAAGCTTGAAGCTCGTAAAATCTCATCATATATAATAATGCTTAAATAATTCATCATGTTTAAGCACATGAATTAAAACGCCAGCCAATTCATCCAACTTAAAGTACCAATCTTTATCATTCCAATCTACAAACCATTTTGATACGATTCAAAAGAAGGATGTTTTTTTGGGGAGCAGATATGAAAACGAGGGAAAGGCAAGCAGAGAATCTTTCCTTCCCCTGCAACACGAAGAAAATGCACAATTAAGATATTTGGTGGAAACTCGCAAAAGAGAGAAAATTATTAATGATATAAAAAGCAGTAGTGTAATGTAGTAGCAGTATCAGGCTATCGGCCATGAAGTTCTGACAGTGACACAGACGTTTCAAAGATATTGAGTGCTGTTTGTATTGTACTATGAACTAGCTTAAAATAAGCCATTGGAGAACCTGACCTATGCATGCATGACGTGTCATAGCTAGGAAACAACATAGCTCCAGACGACAGACAACAACAAACGTGCGCCTGTTGCAGTTGTACATTCCCAATGGACACAGAAACTATTGCCATCGCCATCGCCAGAGAGAGAGAGAGAGAGAGAGAGATTGTTAGTCTCACGCTCTGTCGTATTTCATGGTCACAGCCACATCCCATTCCACCATCCTCTCAGTCCCTCACTGTATAGCAGATTGGTTTGGATGTAGAATGGAACTCTGTTGCTCATTTGGGTTACGTGCTGCAGTTTGTCGGTTGTATGTTCAGAATCTGTGTATTAGACCAATTGTATGGTTTTGATGAAATTGAGCTTACAAAAGAGAGAAAATCACCAATTCCTTTGCCTCGATAGTATGCAGTTTACTGTGTACCTGTAATGTACTTTTTAAGAAATGTTTTGATTCCATGAAACAGCAGAGAAGAATTATGCAGATCAATACAATTAATTGTTCAATTGTATCCCAGCTCTACAATTGCAGTAAACTAAACCAACCCAGAAAACATTAGACACGGAAAAGATCACAAGAAAAACTGTGTGATTCTAATACCCTGAAAGAATCCATCTATTTACAACATGATCAAGTCGCCCTATATATCAGCATGTGCAGAATGACTTTGCTCAAACGATAACTATGAAGACTCTACTCTCCAGAACAAGCAATTTTACAGAATGAGGTTCACATGACAAATTAGATTACAACAATACATTAGATGAAGAGCTCAGCTTAATACGAAACTCGTGACAGCAGTCAGCCTCACGGTCAGAAAAACTAGATACATAACTATAAGCCCGACGCCCAACGTCTTATTAGGACGCATATCGTTTCTAGGCAGCACGATGAGAGCCCAGAGCAACCCTGATACGAGAAATCCAATGGTCAAGAACAGCGTACCATCTCGAGGGATCTCGTATGTACCGTTGCCCCTTGACCAGGCGCCCAACACCATCGAGGCGCCCAACCCAATGAGTGTGTTAAACATTGGACCCGCATAGCAACCAGACATGGCAATCTGCAGACTGTCCCCACCATTCATTGCCAGTGCAACGTTCGAGACCAGATCGCCCATGGAATTGCCCCATGCCAGTACAGTTAGTCCCAAGATCGATGGATTGATTCTTAATATAGTACCAAATGCAACTAATAGACAGACAAGCTCATTTGCAATCATGTAGAACCAGACGATGCTCATCATGAACCCTCCTAGAACCCATGCTAGCAGAAAGGTCCGAGGAGGTCGGTCAGGTAGAGTCCGTTGATAAGCTAGAATCCCAAACGTGCAACCAAGTGATATACCGATTATATAACCAATGATTCTAATTGAAGGAGAGAGATCGCTTTGTGTACTCCATAGATATGCAATGAGAAGTGGAGCTAATGCAGCACTGCTGACTGCATATGGTTTAGACCATGTTTCGTCGTCCACGAGGGGGATTGTCAGCCTCCTTGGCACTGTTAACGGCATCTCCATGATCGAAAACAATCGAGAACACGAGACTGCACACTTTCTCATATCTGATCCACCCTCGTGGTCATCGTTCCATCCCCATGGCGACCTTTCCTCATCCATAGAATTCGACTTCGACGAGTGGTTTGAGAATATCGCCACGTTCGAAGCCCACATCCACGAGGGCAACGACGGTGGTAGATCATGTATGACATCACTCTCAGTATCCACCTCGAGCAGAGAGCTGTAAACTGATCCTACATCTTCTTCCTCACTTCCCTGGGAAAACACACTTCCCCTGACAGGAATCAATGGTGTCACCGAATCCAACTTCAACCTCTGAGCATGTTTCCTCAATAGCTCATTAGCAGCTACAAAGAATGCATACACCACATAGATTGAAACAAATGCAATTGCCACTGTAACAGTCACTCTACCAACCATCAAAATTGTCAGCAATGAGAAGAGAGCAACGAGGAAGAAACATATGTCCCTGACAAAGCATCTCCGATCGATCTGCAGTTCCTTCTCTGCCACACACAATGAGACTGCACCAACAACAACGGAGGTCACAAACACAGCACCTCCCAATACGCTGTTGAGCCCCACGTCGCCGGAATTCTCTCCGAGGAACGCAGCAATGCTCGCAAAAACATCTGGAGCTCCATTCCCAAGCGGTAGGAGGGCAACACCAGCAACAGTAGGGGGGAGCTTCAATAGACTTGAGAGCTTCTCCAACGAGCAGCAGAAGTAATCAGCAGCAGTGTTCCCCAGCAAGTAGAACAATGCAGCAAGCCAGATCCCCAGCAAAAGAAACCCCAGCCATCTGAAGTTGCCACAATCACAGTACAAGAAATGAACATAATTGAAGAAGCCATCAGAGAAGCATTGTGGATTGGCTTGCAAGAAGGAGCATTGGTTTGGGTATCCTTTGTGATCAATCACATCTCTACATTCGTGTGGCCTGTTGTTCATATCCTCTAAAGTGATGTCGAATACATCAGTCCTGTTTCCTGAACTTGGGGAAATCAAACTTGCATCGAGTTCGATCATCTGCCTACGAATCGGTGCAAACCGACTCACCCCATTCCTCAATATAGCTCCAAGCTTCGAACTTTCACTATCAGGAATGTTCTCAATCAAACCTCCCCGATTGGACAACAAGATAACCAATATCAGCGCGCATAATCCATTGAAAACCCCCCTCAATTTGGGGATTTTGGGGGTACTCTTCGACCTAATGGGAACATTCATCTCGAATTTCCGCCTCTGATTCTTGTAAGAACAACTAATTCCAATCAAATTCAACGATGAGTGAATCCCCAGGGTCTCATTTGCTTAAAAACCCTAGAATTTGGATTGAGACCGACCAAGCCGCGGGAAAGGTGCGAGCTAAAGGAAATTCGAGGACTTACCTGTTGGAATTGATCGCAGATGAAAAGATCGTAGCAGGGTTTTGGGAGTCCCAGCTGAAAAATGGAGAGCTGATGAGAAATTTCTTGGGCGTAGCAGGGTGGATCAGAAATTTCTGCGTACGGGTTCAATCTCCACGTTCGGGTCGGACTCACCTCGCCTCATGTCCGAGACAGCCATTTAAATATTTTATTCGTTATTTCTTTCCAACCAGAAAAAAGCATTACTAATTAGTGATTACATAAGTTAAAATGTAATTAGTGATATACTATTAGCAGGTTAGTAGTTAGTTAGTTACATTATCAAATTTATTGGTAAGTAATTGATGATTAAGGATATTTTCTTTCGTATACACAAGAGTAACGTGTTTACATAAACCATTGTAAAAACTAAAAAGACATTCATTGCTTATACTCTTAAGTAAATATTTTTTTAATATATCCAACTAAAATTCTTTAATTGTATATAAAACTTCTTCTATTACATAATGTCTAGTATTCCAATTCCATATATACACTATATATGGTTAATAATTTTCTCCAAAATTTGAGGTGTGTTTCCGTGATACGCCAAAATAAGGTTTTCACTGCCACTAACTATTAACCGATTATAAGTTGGCGTTTGTGGTTACCGTAGTTTGAAATGGCTTCTGGTGTAACCGATAATCAGATAGTTGGATAAATGTTAAAACATATAATTAACCGAGTATAAATATATATGTTTCTTCTCCTCAAAATAATCACATCCCTCACTAAACAAATTCTTGAACTTTGGACAAACAATTTTGTGCCCACTCTGGCCCTCTTCGTCCTTCCTCAAAATTTTCTTTTACACTGTGAATCCTAAAATTGAAAGAGGTAAAGAGTATCACCTACTCTACGAATGAAATGTAGGCAATCAACGTTTGATTGAAAATATTGTCTGGATTCAGCTAAAGAAAAGACTACGAAGACCGCACGATAAATTTCTTTTATAAATAGATAACTGAAAATTATGAGGTCCGACAAAATTTGTCACTAATTAAACTAAAATCCTTAGTGAATGCTGATTATACTAACTGTTACAACTCATTTTTAGTCAGTTAACATTTTGTTTCCAGTGTGACTCAATCAGGCATTTAACCCATGTTCCAAGTAATTCTGATGTTGGCCTGATCCCCTTCCGGATGGTTCCTTGCAGCACAATCAATTACGGAAGCGAATTGTCTATAGCTCAATGGTCAGTGGTCTCAGCTTCTTCTTCCTTGACCATTTTCCTCGAGGAATCAATCCAAATGTAATTAAAGCTAAACAAAGAAGAAGAGATTAGAATAGCATATGACATCAAATGAAGTTCCAAAGATGCAGCAGCAAAAGGGCCAAGTAAGCTAAAGTGCAGTTTTCCAATTAGCACACAAAGCCAAGTTTAATTGGTAAATAATTACATCTCGATATGTTGATCAGTCTCTCTCTCTCTCCATGCTTTCATGAAAGTTCTATGAATAATACAGAAATGGGGGCCAATACCTTTGTTCTGGAGGCTGGAACTGACCGGTCAACAGAAGACCGTACTAATTTAAAAAAAAAAGTGATTTGTGTGACTGACATCAGGTAATAAAATCGGGAATATTTCATAAAACATGTATATTTTGAGAAAATTTTTTAATGACCTTTGTACTTTGGGGAAAATCCGTTTTTTTTCTGTGAGGGAGTAAGATTCACAGCAACCTAAGGCATATACATTTGTATTGAAATGCCATTAATTTCACCATATGGCCTGGCACAACTCACTCTCATAAATAAAATCAGCATAAAAGAAATATTCTCATAAATTAATATTTTTCCAGTCGAAATTAGTTTATTCTTTTGAAAATTTTTGACAGTCATCCACACATTGTCTAGTTATTGTGGCCAACCGCATCTCACCAAATTTGGTCTTTCGTTTCTCTTTCAATTGGAGCAACAGAAAATTTTGGGATACCTTTTTTGTGACCATAAACTTAAGAAGTCTTTTCTGGATATAAATGTTTTCATGATGACAGTAATAGTTACATGTTGTGTGTTTAAAAAATCAAATATGAATATGACGAGCTACTTCAATTAGAATGATACATTTCAGTTCATAATAAGACTCAGCGGTGGAGTCAATTTGCAATAACGTGAGTTTTGAAATTCACATTCACTCTAGATTAATACACGAAAATACTTATACATGATATAATACTCGAACTCAGTACTATTTGTTTACTGATTTTACTTGTATACCAACAATATGTAAAAAAAATTGTGACACACATTAGACTTGTATATATATTCATAATTCTATATTTTATATAAAATTGTGTCTCTAGTTGTTTATTTTAAGTTTACTAATTCCTAATTTAGTTTGAATTCTCCACCTTTACAAAAAATCTGTCGACAAAATATGAAAACATTTATTTTATATGATTTTATTTCTTAAGTAAAATCCTAACTACGCCATTGATAATACTTAATATCATAGAATTAATTTTCCAAAATAATTTGAGTTGGGGTGAATGATTTAATAATAGACTAGTATTGTGACCGGCCCGTTGGCCGGTCGGTGGTCTTTCGGTTGATTCTATAGAAAGTTCATTTTTTTGGGTAAATATAATTTATTAGTCAAATTTTTTAACATTTTCAAATTATTAGCCAAATGCTACCGTAAGTCCATCTTTACGCAAAATAGTAATTCATATATACTTTCAGACTCGGTAATCATTTTGCTTACCCAATTGCTCAACAAATAATACGGGGAATTCCTACAATAATTAGAACAAAGATCAGTGTATATTTCATTACTTAAAATAAAATAGTCAATCACGTAATTAGTGACGTAGCCAGTAATTCATCTAAAGTAGGTCAAATGTGGGGAGAAAGTGTAACGTAAGTTTCAGGATGTGTTCTATGTTCTGGAAATTCATTCATCATGCAAATTATGAGAGATGTTAAGATACCACAACGAAAAATCGTTCTCAATTCCACAACTCGTATTATTTCTAAAGTGTTTCTTTACTTTGCTTATTGCAATTAGTTCTCTTTCAACACTTGCAATGACAACCGATAGCAAGAAAACCCCTCAAGTTTTGAGTTTTTGTTTATATTTAACTCACTTACGTAATGTATAAATTAAAAGTTAAATAGAGATTACAAAACATTATTGTCTATTAAGTTATCTACAATAATATGAAAAATCTTGTATTAAATCCACAACCACATAAACAAAGTAACTCTACATTTTTTGGACCAAGGTGGTGCAAATTACTCACCTTGGCCTTAAGTCAAGTGGCTCCGCCACTACACGTAATATACATAACATACATTATCTTAAATAATATTATGTAAAGTGAAAAGTCATTACACAAAGTACCTTGCAGACTTTTGTCTATGAGTACCTTACGTAATTATTGTGAAATTATGTTGCGTATGCCTTAACTAATGAACGGTATTTTTACTTGAGGAATATTAACACCTCATTACGTAAATAGTTAAGCGGCTATGGAAACTTTACGTGAACAAAGTTACAAATCAAGAGACTAGATTAAGCTCTGCTCAGAATAATAACATGAAGAATATAGTTAGATTTGTCTTTGGATATGAATAAGGATTATAGAAGGCCCACGCTTGATAAACATTACCCAGATTTATTTATAAATTTGTGTCCCAATAGTTGTTTTGATAATTATGCGATGGAAATAATAATTGCAGAGGCGGAGTTACTTTTATATCCCGTCTGAAAACACAGGCAGAGAGTAAAATGGTTACATGGCAGAACTGAAACTGAGTGGAGCGTGTAATGTATGTTTTAGATAGATAGATATTACCATTTCATACATGGAATAAAGCTATCTAATTGGCAAATGTTATACTAGGAATCTATCTCTAGATCTCTCTCTATATATTATATATCAATAAATGAAAGGCACATGCTTGTTATGGCCATATATAGTCAAGGTGACAAATGTATGAGCTAGTGATCCAATGTCTTCAAGTTAATTAGGTTATGTGCCAATCGTATTTGTCATCACTGAAATCACGAACCTGATCGAGCAAGGATCATCACCATTTTGATAAATCAAATATGGTTGGAAACATGTTAAGCGAACTGGATCAGATATTGAAAGTATTGAGGAATGATAAGAACTTGGAGATTTTACGATATTAGTTTTGCGTAATCTCACAAAGTATGATACTTTCATCTCATTTGAAGTGTAAATCATTTTCTTTGAAGGATACACAACGAATCTTTGGCAAATCATGGGCGAATGAGGAGAACAAAACATGTCTATATGAAATCGAGAGATTCTCAAACTAACAATAAGCTCAATTATTATTATTTTTCCACAATTATTTAGATGATGAATTGACTAAAGATAAGAAGATAGACAGCAACATGAGATTCTTTCTCTAGAGACAGAGAAAGAGCAAAATGCTACTTATCTACTCCCTCTCTATATTCCAACTATACAACTCATTTCCTACCAATTGAAAAGAGTCCAAATAAATAAAAGAAAATCAACCAATCATAATTCACAGGGTGTCATAGAAGATCTACACTGTATAGTATGGAGATTTCAATTGGGAGAGGAGAGTCAAATAATTGCTTCACAAGTGTACAGCTCTGCTCCTGTATATTAATGTGTAATATACATATTTTGTCATATTGTGAAAGGCATTGAGAAAAGAATCAATAAAAATTGGCCCATCACTTTGCAATGGGGGAATAATAAATTGTAGTTCTCCAAAAAGAAAGAAAAATTCTGTAAGCCAACCTATACCTTTCCTGCATCTTTCAGGAACTCTTTCTTTAGGTATGGGTGGAGTATATTTTTTTTAAAATTATTATTATTACAGGGTGGAGTAATTTTGATAATCTAAATACCCCAACAAATACAGTATTAAGTGATCGGAAACACATTGTTTTACATTGCAATATGTTTCCATGCCACAGACCATAGTTGATGGACAAATTGGGAATTGAATGGTTCTTACAAATTATTCCAAATGCTGTTTTCCGTAATAATAATAAGAATCGATTTCGAAAGTTAATCGTTTCTAATCATACACATATGTTTATTGCTAGATCTCGCAAACAACGAACTCTCAACTAAATATATTTGGCAATATGATTTTCCTTTCAAGTCCAATTTTTTTATTTTATAACTCATGCAGTCTTATCTCTCACAAAATTCATAACTAAACCAATAACATTGAGTTGATTGATTGATATGACTAATTGATTTTATGTTTTGATTTTTTCCGAGATTATATTACTAGCCACAACTTCAAGCAAAGTACAGATGATTCCATTCTGTACTACAAACAATCAGTCCCAAAAACCTAATTATTTGGACAAGACATAGTTCCACCTTGAGTTCTGAGGACTGAAAAGACCATTTTTTTAACCCTAGATAGAAGACAGAAGAAATTTTACAATTCGTTGATCTTTCACAACTGAAACAAAGAGAGTCCCAGCAAAAAAGAAAGGAAACAAAAAAACATGAAACAGTCCGATAAAGGGCTGTAATTTTCAATTTCCATCCAATATTTCTTCCTTTCCCTTACTTCAAACTTAGGAGAAAGCCCTATCGTAGGTCTCCAACCATCCATAATCACCCCTTTTTTGTCCAAAACCTTCTCATCATTATTCCTCCCGCCTGTCTCATATGTTGGTCGCAACGTTTGAAACTAATTGACTTAGCCAATCAGATACGATCGCGAAACAACTCGCATAACTTGCAACAATACCTTATCGATTTCCCTACATTTCTTTGTTAGTCGCAAGATTCAAATCTGATTTACTTCAATCAACTAGACAAAGTCGTGAAGCAACTTTCAGACCTAGCCAGCTTCACCACAGACTTCGTTATGGGGCTTCCGGGAGTCGATCTTGGCCCTCGTGGCGAGGACCTCGGTGAATCCAAACTCCGTCTCAGAATCTGTCGCATCGCAGATATCAAATGCAACGTGGGGTCGATTGGAGTTGGCTCTGGCGACGATGAGAATTTCTTGCAAAAATTGATGTGTCGCGCCAAAGCTTCCTCGGTGCTTATAAGTCTCTCTTCTGTTCTCACTATCTCGTCCTTTACCGCTTCCGAGCACAAGCCGCACACCCATTTTCCGTGGTACCTCTCCCGTACCCTTTCGATGTACGCCGGCGTGCATTCCTCCATCAGGCCGCAACAGTCACATATAGCCGATTCAACTTCGGAGGCGGCAACGGGCGGCGGCAGAGGTTGAGTTTCCGGTGGTGAGACTACCAAAGGGTCGCTTATCATGGTTGCCGACATTTTTTTGGGTCCTTAATTTCCTGTTTTTGATAGGAGAAGAAGAAGAAAAAAACATCAGAAGCAAATTCTTGTGATGAATTGGAAATTAGAGCATTCAAAAAATTACTCTGTAAAACTCAATTCAATGCGTTTGTAAAGATAATGATCAACTGCATATGCATATTGTCCATGATTACACTATCTTCTACTATACCGATTAAGGTCATGAATTCGAATATTGTGACCAACATTAATTAAGAAATAGAAATTATTAGAATTTCAGCTCATCCCACTTAAAGTCTAACTGGTATCACTCTCCTTCCTATCATTTTTCTTTGTTTGTAAATTTTTTGGAGGGTTTCTTAAAAGAGGAGGGACAACAGAACATGGGGGAGATTTGGGATTACGCGTAAACATCAGAATAGGAAATCACCAGCTGGAGGATTTTGGAATCCTTTGTGAAAGAGAAAGTGACAACCTTTTTTTTTTTCTTTTCCCCCTTCTCACATGTAATGAAGGAACATTGGAAAGAAAAACAAAACAGAGCAGAAGACAATAACACAACAGCAAGGAAAAAGGAGAAACATTTTTGGCAGCAAATTCAAAAGTCTTCTTCCTGTAAACACAATTATGGAAAGGAAGAAAGAAAGAAAGAAATGAATTCTTTGATTAGCTCCTAGATTGAAACATGGGAGAGGAAGTGTAATTACCTGACTAGCTAGAAACTTCCTTCTACCCTGGCAATCGGAGATTTCCCGCCGGCAGCGGGCAAACTCTCTGTTCTGTAGAAAGAAGAAATCCTTCTGCTATAGAAGTAGCAGGAGGAAAGGGGGGAAAAGTGAAACTTCTTTTTGAGCTTGTTTTTGTTTGTTTGTTTGCCTATCGCTCTTTTTCCCACTCGCCTTCTTCGCGTTTCTCTTCCGCTGCAAACAGAATAATGAAAAACACCATTTCCAAGCTACCCGCCAAAAAGCTCTGCAACCAACTTCCCTCCGCTTGGTTTTGGGGTAGAAATAAAGGTGCGAGCTTTTTCCCTTGTGGAGATCTCTGTTTGAGAAATGAAGAATTGGGTTTTGGTGGGTTTTCTGAGCTCTTTTCTGTTCTCTTCTTCTTCTTCTTCTTCTCTGGCAGCAGGCGTTGTGAGGGTAACGAGAGAGAGAGAGAGAGAGGGAGGGTTTTGGGAAGAGTGGGTAAGAGGGAGAAGGCCAATGATTGAGTATTTAAAGGAGGGGAATCCACGTCAGCGGTTGAGCAGAAGGGAAATCGTGACCGTTCATCTTCGGTTTCTGGATTGACAGCTAAGCAATTATCATTGCTCTGTGGTTGGGTTCTGCTGCGGGAAATGAAAATGGAAGAAAAAGAAAGGTTGATATATAGAGGTTTTTTTTTCTTTTTCTTTTTGTTAACCAACATTTGCTGTAGTTCGTCATTTATAATCATATAAATGAATGACACATAATAATAGAATTTTTGTAATCACATGATATTAAAAACTTAATTTGTGTGTTAAAGTATTAATTAGTAGGCGGAGACTGGAGAGTGTTTATTTAACATATATGGAATAATGGAAAGAAATAGTTAATTAGTTACATTGTCTCTATTTTTCTTATTAGCACTGGTTCGGTACTTATAAGAGAATAAAAGTGTGCTTTTTGTGTGTAGAATTAACGTAAAAGTAATGTTGTGAAACCCGTGTAAATCGTTATGTTTGTTTTGCAAGTGGTATGGTTTGACTGAGGTATAATCGATTTATGTGTTAGTTTTAACCGAATAAAGTGAAAATTCATTTACACCAAATGAATTTGGCATATTTAAGACAATCCATCTAACATGTACATTCATATGTAAAAAAAAAATATTACATTAAAAAAAATGTCAAATCACAATATTTAAATGTTATATTTAACATCAACATTATAATTTTTATATTTCCATCCAATAAATAACATCAACATCTAAAATTCCTTTCTTTTGTTAATTACGCCCACCAACATAACATAATTTTTTTAGGAATCCAAATGAATTATTTCATTGAGACAACCGATTTTTCCATTTTTTTTTATCAGTTTTGACTATTACTTTATATCGATGCTCTCTCATCAAATTAATATAAAACAATTATTGAACCCGATTATACTGACCAACATACTAGATGTTTGACAACCATGCATAAAAGTATCACTCCAATAAAATGAAACCTGTAAATTCACTTTTCTAAGGGTTACCTTTATGGATTCGGAATTGCATCATTAGTGCATGGAGCTGTTTTGGGTTCTTATAAGGTTGATTTATCGATCCCAAAATTTTAGTTTAGAATCTCTGTTACATCAAAATCGTTAAGATACATTTTACCAAATGTTATATTGTCTATGTGTGTATTTAATTAAGATTTATTATAGATAGTTCCTTTTGTTAGCTGATTGTTTGACGCCTAACAAAATAAAATTGTTGAGAAAACTGCCACCGAGTGTGGTACAAACGTGTAAGGTTCAACCTAAACAACACGTTTATCTCTTCCTTACACACAATTAACAAGTTGGACAAAGCGGTTGTTAATATTTTTGTTGTGAATTGTGATTTTCAAGTATTTTATTTCAGGATAGTATTTTCCTGACTTGATTTATATATGAAATAATTGCCTCATGCTATATGTACATGTGGTAGCATGTTTGAAGGACTTGAGGCCACAAATTAATGTAGAGAAAATGAACGTGAAGAAGCTAATACCACTTGGTTCCACAAGATGATCGAGAGAGCAGTGTCAGATCTAAGATTTTTGAATAGATGTGTTGATCAATAAAAATTAAAATAAATAAATCATAAATATATAATTCATAGAGCACACAATTTCATTGCTTTTCACTGTAAAGCAACTAATTTTTAAATTTTTGAAAGGTTTGTAAAATACAGTCATATCATATTTTGTATCTTAAATCCTTTTCAATATATACAACCAAACAATCATTTAAAAAATTATTTCACAACTTGCATGTTCAATAGATGTGTCACTTACTGTTTCAGTAAGTCTCCTCATTTAGTTTGCCATGCATCGTCCTCATTCACTTCTTTCTCATAGAGGTTAAAAGAACATACCGGTTTCATAATATTTTTAAATGATGAAACATATATTTTTCACCGAAATCTCGGACGGATATGTGTCGGTTGACACACCTCCCAATCACCTAGGTCCGCTCGCGATCAAGAGCCATAAACATGACCTGTATTAGAACGTTTGTTTAATGAATTAAATTGATAATCTACAAATAATTGTGATGAGGTACAATATAATTAATCAAATTGAAATGTGCAATACAAGCAATCCTCTATCTATAGTCCCCACACTTGGGCCAATTCAATTATTATCCGAGGTACGGGGATACACTCTAGCATGGATTCCTCCCATCATCCATATACAATTAGTATGAGTGATTTTCTAGTCAATACATAGATAATTCATGTTATCGAGAAATCAAAAGATATAACGTTAAAACGATTCATCTCACCCAGAAACGACAATGAATGCATGTTAGAAGGATTGATCCCGTTTAGGTTAATTTTCCCCATGCAATCCCTTCAAGGTTTTCAGGATTTATTCATGAATAGACACTAGCTAGTGATTAGAAACACAAAAAAAGGGCATATATAGCAATTGTCACGGACTAGATGAATTGTGTATGTAGGAAGCATTGCCAAAGCTAGAGAAAGCAAAAGAGTGTGTGGGGAAAAATCATCTATTGGCATCAATTTGTGAAATGGATATGCATTTGTGAAAGAAGAATTTTGACATAGCCAGCCCACAAACCCCATATATGTATATTGTCCTATTCATATCTCATATTTTCCATTATTTATCTGTAAATAAATAAAATATATATTCATTTTATATGGTGGGGAAAAATTATAATGAGATAAAATTTAATCCTTTTTAATATTTTATTGTCCAAAATACACACTTTTGCGGGTAGCACGAAAATGAAAAAGTTAACATATTTGCATGCTTCATATAGATTTTTCAGGGTGGAAAGCACAATTCATTTTCTCATGCCTTCAAATCCTCATATTTCACACTCATGCATGTGAGCCATGCATGCTATACCTTGAAGGACACTTTCTCTCAATTTGCTTTGGCTTCCATTTGTTGCCTTTTGTTTGATCTAAGTTAGAAAGGGGTTGCCTACTTTCACAAGGCAGAGATAAAATAAAATAAAAAAGTGACAGATGACATTTTTGTTTGTTTGCGTCTTGTTACTTCTTTTACGTATAGTAAAATTTATAAATATTAGAAAAGATAATGTTTATTTTTTATCCAAATTTTTTCAGATTTTTTTTATATTATCCAAACCTACCAAAATACTAAGTATTAGTTAAATTTTAACTTCTAGTTAGTAATTTTGTTAGTAATATTGACTTGGCAAATTGATACTGACTTGGAAGAGACTCATAAAGGTCAACATTTCAAAATTTTAATATTTTAACTAAGAAAAGAGTTACAAAATTATTAACGATAGAATAAAAATGACTAATATTTTGATGCATTATGAAAGATTTGGATAATTAATAGAATTTTAATAGGTTTGAAAAATATAAAAAAATTTTGAATGAAAAATAGACATTACCATATTAGAAACTAAGAATATGTATATCTTTAGTACTTATAAGTTATAAATAGTCATTTTATTATGTTATAAAGTACTGGTGTTTTGAGTACTTTAAGAAAAAAGTACTAGTATTTCAAGTTACAAGTTGAACTTGTATTACAATGTAAAGTTACATGTTTATTTTGTACCCTATATGAATTTGTACTATTTCACGTAATATGCCCTTTTACTATGCACATTTATCAAACATCGCTCTCTACTATTTTTTATATAAAAAATATGTCTCGCTACTTTGGAAAAATGATCAAACATGTCCTTCTGTTAAATTTTTAATCCAAAAAATCATCAATCATGATTGAACAATAGTTCGAGCGACCCAAATGTCTAAAATACCCCAATATTTCACGTCAATATTTTTTTGTTTCTTTTGTATAGCCAACACCTCTAATAATTTCACTTTAACGAGACTTAGAGAAACACATGAAGGAACAAAACTAACATTTTCCCTCCCATTTTGCTAAGGTCGATCTTCCAAACCATAGTTCAACTGTGGTTGGCAGTTTTTGAATGAAAATTTTAACAAAAGGGCGTGTTTGATAATTTTTTTCAAAGTACAGGGATATGTTTGATGTTAAAAAAATAATAGTGGGGCATGTTTGATAAAAGTTCATAGTAGATAGGCATATTATACATATAACTCTTTATATTATGGTATAATTACATATTCGGTTTGTACCATAACATAAAGGTACAAATTCAATTTGTACCATAAAGTAATTTGTATAAAAAGTATAGGTACAAAGTGAATTTGTATTATAACATTAAAAATACAAGTTCAGTTTGTACCACATATGAATTTGTATAAATAGTAGTGGCAGAGCTAGAAATCTGAACGAGGAGGGCTAAAAATTTACGTTCAAAGGATTTGAACCAGGGAGGGGGCTAAAGCCTTACCATCTACTCTATTTTCCAACTTTGTCACAAAGTTTACACAATTTTAAGAGTTGAGGGAGGTATAGCTCCTCCTAGCTGTAACATGGCCCCGCCACTAATAAAACTATAGATGCAAACTGTGTTTGTATCATAACATCAATGATATAAAGCATTGTAAAATTCTCATCTTACTCGTACTTGATGATAGATCAACAATAGTTTTTTCGTCTTCTTGAATGAAGCATCGTGCGTGAAGATCCAACAAGGTTTGGTTTTGTATTAATGACATCAAGGTTGTCAAGCCGTGGGTAGACTCGTCGGTTGACCCAATGAAAAAACGGGTCACACACACTTGTTGGGTCCGCCACTACAAGGTACCGGATTGGAGATTAAATTGTGTCATTTTTTTCTTTGGTTTGTAAAATACACCAATTTTTTGGTTTTCCTTTTCGCGTAACTCGGTCTTTGAAATCCTTAGTTGATTATTTGAAAATTTATGTTAACTAAGTGTGTGTGAATTTTCACTATATGTTGAATGTAAGTACGATATGTTATTTTGGTGTAATGTTATATGTTATTACTCATATGTTAGATGAGATTTGATATGATTTATAAATGTATGAATAATATAATGAATTTTCACTTGTACCTTAACGTTGTGATACCATACAAGTTCAATTTGTATCTCGAAAGCACCAATCCTTACTTTAGAACATAGTACTCTAGAATGTGTGTCCAATAAGGCACATATGAACACATTAATTCCCTATTAGTATTGGGCATATACATTTGAGGAGAGACAAAGGCTAGTGTTGTGTATATATGTTGTAGTTTGGAAGGTCAAAGGGATTAATTAGCCGACTTCTTTATTTAATTTGTTTTTTTCTTCTTCTTCTTCTTCTTCTCTTGCCAATAGGATTAGCCGACTTTGTTAATCAACTATATATCCTAACTAATATGTAATTTGAAAATGAAAGCAAAGTAAAACACATGATTAAATATGCTAATTCGTGTGGGTCAAGCAGGTGTCACACACACACATAATATATTCTATGGTCTATTTATATGGTTGATATTTAAAGTCAGATTCATTAGCCTCCAAAACAAAAAATGGTGATGACTTGGACCAACCTCGCCATCTACGTGTCTGCCACTAATCAATATTCATTACTATGAAATTCATTGGCCTGGCCATGTCAAACTTGAAAATCTCCTCTCCCGTTGTTATATGCTTTTTTCGTTTGATCGGAAATTGTGTCTATCTTGTTTGTATGTTCAAAAAGAGCAATTAATTCACAATAGCATCAGAACCATGTCTTGCCTTGATACATCGCAGATTCTTATTTATCTTAATAATTCTTATACGATAATTCGAATATGATTTATAAAATTTATCTAATTGATATAACAGGTTGAGATTTCTTTCGTCCTATTTCTAAAAAGATGACATTTATCTCATGAAGATCTTGGATGTGCCTTTTATCCATTGGTGTACTTTGTCATCATAATTCATATGATTTTTTTTTTTTGTAAAGCAATTAAGGGTTACCAATTAAAATTTTGCATTATAGTACTAGTTTATGAGAAATGGCACATCTTGACTTGGCATTTCATCTACTTCTTCCTCTTCTTTTCTACTTAAAGGGGTATATTACATTATCTAACTTTCCTAATGGAGGATTTTCAAAGACTCCATAGACTACAAAAGTGAAAGTTGTGATTCAAGTTGAAGATAGTTGATTAATTAATATGCATAGATATATGCTTGTGGGTGGTTAATTATTCCTTAATTACATGCATATTCTCATATAAATAGTGGTTTTTAAACTTAGGTAGGTACTATTTGCAGCATGCCCTTTGTTTCTTTCCTACAATTTCAATTCTAAGTATCTTGGGATTTGGAAAAGCAAACATTCCTTACAATTATGCTTGCTAATCTAGGCCGGTCTAATCCGTATCCACCGTCACAATTAATTTGCAAGTGTGAGATACATACATTATATTCCAAGAAAAGGAAAGTGTGAGTGAGTTTAATTTATAAAGTTTTTTATTTATCAATAGACAACCTGAATTACCAAGGCAGAAAGCTAGTACAGTTTACAATCCAAGTAGAAATCAACGATCAAAATCAAAACTATCTACAATCGTAGTCAACAAAGAAAAGGTCTTCCTGGCCACATCATGAGCCACCCGGTTGTTACTCCTGCCAACAAAAAAAGATATCAAAATTCCGATACTGTTGTCGAAGACTCTCAATCTCCATCAAAATCCTTCCTCCCTTCACGTCTCGAGCATCCATCCTCTGAATTTTCTCAATAACCACTTTCGCGTCCCCGCAGAAGATCACCTCAGTAACACCCTTCAAAGAGCATTACTACTATATTTTATGGATTAAACAACTACGAGAGGTTTGGAGGGATTAATTGACAATGTGATATTCGTGGAGTTAAATAACTCATTCATTGTTCATGTGGTATTTAAATGGTAATTGGATTAGAATATCTCGTTTTGTAAAATGATGCACATGTGGTATTTGAAAAAAAAAAAACCATAGGGGTAAAACGAGTATTTCGAAATAACTCTAATAACTCATTTAAGGTTTATGTGAGTGGCATGTGCTATTTAGTAACACATAATAAATCGCATTATGCATTTGGCACTTAACGCATTGCGTTCAGAAATTGATTTTTTGGCCAGTGGTTAATTAACCATTTTTAAAAATTTTGAATTAAAAAATAACATGAGGGTCGTTTGGATTGAGCAATTGAAAAACGATAAAGTTTGGCTAGTTGTTTCATTTTGTAAAACGAATCATTTAAAACGGTCATTTTGAATTGTCTGCCTCCACCCCAGATAATTATAATTGGCTCAAAATTAGTCAATTTGAAATTCACTAGACAGATTTGCTTCATCTAGATTTGTAATGCCAAAGAAATCAATTTGACAAATTATCTCAAATTAAAACGATTTCTTCAAATTAATCCGTTAGAATTACTTATCACAACTGATCTTCTTCATTATATTAGTAATGCCCCTAATCGATTCCAATTGGTTATTGTACTGCCGTATCGCACATATCTTCTTCAGAATATTCTCGCTTTCCTCCTTCGATCAATGGAATATTCAGTACCAGTTGGCTGTTAGCCTGTCATTATAAAAACAGTTCGTGTGGAATATGACACAAGAAGCCTTAAATAGCCCCGTGAAAAAGTATCATGACTCGTTTCATGCATAAGTGAGTTCATACTACAACAAATTCATTAATATTTACCTTTTTATCATTAACCAAATTATACCTCAAACCCTGATATCATTAACCAAATTCAGTTTTTTACCCTTTTAATATTATAAATAAACTAGTTTTAATAATTTAACCTTCATGTTTTGTTTTACAAGCCCTATACTTCCAAACTAAACTATTTGAAATTTTCAAATTTCATATCATTAACCAAATTCAGTTTTATTTACTCTTTTAGTAATATTAACCAAATGATCGTTTTAATCATTTAACTTTTTATATTTTGTTTAACAAGTCCTATACTTCACAACTAAATTTTTTAAATTTTACAACTTTTAATCCCTTATTTTCAAGGGTTCCTTTCATTATGTGCTTAAAATTTTCCAAACAATAACACTGGTAAGTATTAATTTTTTCATGTATGAACATTTAAAAAAAGTGATATATTACTTTTTGGTAGTTGAGTACTATTTCAGAGATTCGAACATGAGATCTCCGGAACAATAATACTGATGGGCCTTCATTTTTTATTTATAAAATATAGAATGATGTGTTACATATTGAATGCATGATTAGTTTTTTTTTATTTACTCAATTTGTTACGAACATATCATAATAGTAATTATAGTTTAGAGTTATGTTTTACTATCTCAAACAATGTCTTGTGATGCTAAAATAATAAAACATACTAAAATTTCATAATATTTTGATTTTCTTATGATGATACACTATAACTTCAATTCGTCGAAGCTTATCAAATCCTGACTCTGTGGCTGTGCACATCCCAGGTAGGGGTGTCAGTTCGGGTCGGGTTCAGTTACCCAAACCGAAACCCGAAAAAACCCAAAAACCCGAAACAAAAAATCACTAAAATCGAACCCAAACCCGATAAGGACTTGTGGGTTCCGGTTACCCGAAATCCGAAAATTCCTTATCGGGTTCGGGTTCGGTTAAAACAAAACCGAAACCCGAAAATCCGAACGCCTTAAAATACGGGTTGAATTCTAGTCATTGGAGGTTTTTAGCCGGAACCCGAAAAACCTATAAGCAAAACCGAACCCGAAACCCGAAACGAACTCGAAAACCGAACATGTATATAATCGGATCGGTTTCGGGTAAAACCGAACCCGAATGGACACCCCTAAATCCAGGTATATGACACGGGGAAAAAAAAAAAACCCTGAAATCACCTTTTCCGAATTATGTATCTACAATGACAGCAAGTCAACAACCACTAACCAGAAACAGAGGAAGTTAACTGTAATTAACGTTATCTTATTGGATAAGAGTAAGACAGAACCCCAGGACAAAGCATAGGATAACATGATTCGTGTTCTAATTATAATTTATCTTCATTATCGTGTTCCAATGATTTGGGCTAGTCTGGTGCTATTGCTAATTAATCATGCAAAAACTAGCCCCCACTCTTCCCTTGATGATAAACTAGTTATGGAATGAGCCGATTATTGTTTAAACTCTAACCCTAAATCTGCATATACTTCTTGTTTGATAAGATTGTCTAGAAATTATTGAAGACTTGGAGCTGAGACATGTAGTGAATTCGAATGGCTGGCGCAAGATCTTCTCCAAACTTAAGGACAAAGGCGTTGCAGTTACCCATCATAGAACCACCATAAGCAAAGAGTGCCATGTGAACTTGAAAACTGCAGAGGAAGGGGGAGAGAACCCCATTCACATATATCAAATAGAAAGGAGTTGTAGGAATTAAAGAGCCTTTCATCTGTAGTGAATGATTGTCTTGACGACTAGAGAATGAAGGAGAAATGAGTACCTGGACAAAGCTGTTGGTAATGGATAAATGAGCATCTCTCTTCAATCAATCGGTTCGAGGAAACGTAAATGATGGGAGTGACAATGTAAAGGGGTTTACAGGGTGTGGTAGCTAAGGGAGAAAACATCTCTGGAATAGGATGCAAGTCATCCTTGCAAAGCAATTTTCAAATAGCCTGCAGGTTCAGGTAGAAAAAGAAAAACAGTTTATGATTAGTCTAATTGTATGCTTCCAAGGTACAAGGAAAGATGATCCAAAGAACAAGGTAAATTAAAGAAAAGGGATAACTGCATACAGCATAACAACCAAACTAGCTAAAGTAAAATACCTTGAGATATGGGTGTGTGATGATGCTTCTTCTTCTTGTTGCTCTTGTTCTTCATGTTCTTGATCTGCTTCTTCTTCTTCGTCTTCCATTTCCAAATAGCAACCTTCCTTTTGAACAAGTCTAGAATCAACTTGGATATTTGGGATGTGAGAAATGATGGGCCAGTCCTCAGCCTTGTTGCTTATACATCTCCTAGATAGAAGATCACATCTAAATACGCCCAAAGACTCCAATGCAGTGAGCTTTTTAAGCCAACTTGGTAAGCACTTAAGGTTGTCACACCAGTCTATGTCCAGCTGCTGCAAATTGGAGGAAAACTGAAGCCAATTAGGTAGAGTCACCAACTTGGGAACACTTTGGACAACCAAGCATCGGAGGCTGGGAAGAAAACGCGGTAGCATGCTGTCATTCTCATCATTTCCTTTATTACCATCACCATAATCGTAGTCCTCCAGTTCCAAAACTTCACAAGATAGAATATGAAGCTCCTTGAGCGAAGGGAGATGTCGAAGAATAGATGGAGACAAAGTAGTCAAATTGCTACAAAACCATATGTTTAGTCTCTCAAGGGAACTGAGTTGTGGCATCAACCCTTGCGGCAAATCATTCACGTATTGGAGACACAACTCTTGAAATCGAGGGTGTGCTGGGGGAAGGGATGGAGAAATCAGAGAGGCACCAAACACACTCAACAACTCACTGCTCACATCCATCAACTCAACCTTCTTAAAGTTGATAAGAAAATGTGGGATGGTAACCATTTTCGGGCAGCCTTCGATCTCCAGGGTGGAAACCCGAGGTAACAGAGGCGACTCTTCCATATTTGCAAGAGACCAGCCAATTAAATTTGGGCAGTCCGTGATCTTGAGAGACTTGAGGGAGGGCAGACACTGCAAATCCTTGTTTGAAGAAGATAGAGAAGAAAAAGGTAATGATGATACTGTCTCTCTCTGTACGTATGCTAGGCTCTCTAAGTTATACAACACCAATTCTTCAAGAGAAACAAAAGGATCCAGCGATGGCAGACTTTGCAGTTTCCCACAACAATATAGCTCGATGCGAACCAGATTCCTGAGAGAAGAGAACCAGCAGCTTGCTGTTGGAACACTCGTCCCGCCGTAATAACACAACTGTAACTCCTTTAAATTTGGATGTGGTTGTAATGCCTCCAATACTGACCTCTCGTGATCACATCCTCGAGCCACCATATTATTACTGTCATCACTCCACCATAGTTCCAAGTGTTGAAGTTGCGATTTCTCCTTTAAATTAGCTGCAGCTGCTTCGGATTTATCCTTCACCAATTCTAGGCCTTTGATAGTCAACTTCCCACTTAGGTTGGTCAGACTCTTCAATTCACCGAGACCAGCTAATCTGGAGTTTTTTGCAGCTGCTTCTGTTAGAATGAATAAAGACAATTCTCTGAGGAAGGAAAGATTGCAGATCCCGGCTGGTAAGTAAGTCAAACTCGAACAATCATCTAGGTAAAAAAAGACCAGATTGTATAGCTTCCCCAAGTCTGCCGGCAATAGTCGAAGATGTTCACATAAACACAGATTGAGCGTTTGCAAGTTTACCATTCTTGTAATTTCATTTGGAAGTATCTCCACCCCGTTCTTAGAAAGATCAAGGTACCTAAGATGTTTCAATTTATTGAAGGTAATAGAGAAAACCTCCATTTTAGCATCTCCAAGACCAAACACTCTCAGCCTAGTCATATTCAGGAAGATCTCACATCTTCCTTCCAACTTGACACCTCCCACAGCCACATTTATGATCATAAATGTTCGAAGCCTTGTTGCTTTAGCCAAGAGAGTTGGAATTTTCCATACTCTAGTCTCCCATTTGTTCTCAAAATCGATTGACAGGTGCCGAATTCTTTCAAGGTTGACAACCCCACTGCTGAGAAGGCTATCCGTGAGATTTATAGCATTCAAACAGATGGTATCCATCCCTGCAACTGTGACAGCAAGGTCATGCATTAAATCATGCATCTTACAATATTTCATATTCCCGTACCGGTCCTTTGTCACCTCTTGAAAGAAGGACCTCCACAACAGATTCTTAAAATATTCAATTCCAACATCTTCAAGCAGTGAAAATTGACCGGACTTGATGATAAATCCTTGTGCCATCCAAACTTGCACCAACATCTTCACGTTGATCTTACGATCTTTTGGGAACAAGCTACAGTAGGCGAAACTAGGGGTGTAAGTTTGGCCCTTAAAACCCACTGGCCCGCCCCGACCCGCCCCGACCCTCAGGGTCGGGCTGGGTCAGTTTGTCTATAGGGTCAATTTAGGGTCGGGTCAGCTTAGGGTCGGGTCAGGGTCAGATAGGGTCGGGTCAATTTAGGGTCGGGTCACTTTTTGACCCTATGACCCTTAGCATCATACAAACATGTTGGACCTATTTGTAAAATTTTAAAATTTAGGTACTAAATTGTAAAAATTAAAAAATTTGGGTACCAAAACGTAATTTTACCATCAAATTTTAGGGACTTATTTGTAAAAAAAATTCAATTTAGGTACTAAAATGTAAGAAAAAATAAATTCGGTTACCAAATTGTAATTTTTAGAAAAGTAGTCTATTTATTAGGGTCGACCCACCGACCCGACCCTTCCTGACCCGCCCCGACCCTAAAGGGTCAGACAGGATCATGAAAGAAACAGGGTCGGGGCGGGTCAGTTATACATCTTGACCCTTCAGGGGCGGGTCAGACAGGGTCAGGACAGGGTCAGGGGCGGGTCGGGCCAATTTTCAGCCCTAGGCGAAACAACGTTTTAATTGAGATGGCAAATTGTCATAACTCAACCTAAGAGTAGCAGCCAAAATTTCACTATCTTGTCCACTGAAATCTAGGCTCAACAACTGCTTTTCTCTTATTGCCTCCCACTCAGACTCGGTATCTTTGAAGGATAGAAGACCCCCCATTGTTCTTATAGCTAATGGCACTCCACAACATTTCCTCGTAACCTCTTTCCCAATCTCAATATATCTTGGACCCGGCGCAACTCCTCCCTTGAAAGCCATCTTCTCGAACAAAGACCAAGACTCGAGCTCAGACAGACCTTGCAACTCATGTGGCCCCAATCATCTCAGTTGCTGTCATCTTTGCAACAATTCGAAGACGAGTGGTCACTCACTACAATTCTGCTACCTTCCGCTGCACCACTTGAGAATATATTTATAAAGCGAACCCACTTTTCTGTATCCTCATTCCAGACATCATCCAAAACTAACAACAACCTTTTATTCTTGATGTGCTTGTGCAGAAGATCCTTGAGTGTGTTCAAGGCAAGGTCTTCCACCTTTTGTTGGGTAATGGACTCCAAAACATTTTTAACCATGGCTTTTGGGTCAAAAGTTTCAGAGACGCATACCCAATGTGTGCAATCAAAATGAGACTGGATTTTGTTGTCATTGTAAATCAATTGCGCCACTGTTGTCTTCCCCAATCCCCCGATTCCAACAATGGGGACGACTACAACTTTCTCCTTATTACCAGACGATAGTAACATGTCTATTATCATCTGCTTATCTCCTTCTCTCCCAACAACCACATCAGGGACAGAAGAGTGAGTTTGCCTCCACTCCTTGTTAGCAGCAACTGGATCCACAGGACGTGCCTGGAAATTGAATTGATTCCTATTCTGATCAACCTCCTCTAACTTGCTCCGAATCGCCTTAATTTGATTAGCAATTCTCAATCCATAAGCAACTTGGTTGGATGGAGAAAAGAAGAGGCATACCTCCTTCACCACGCCATTGACATCCATTTGTTGTTTCTTCCGGAGAACCTCTGTAGAGAAATCGTCCAGCAGGTCTTCAGCATCATAAAGGACTTCTTCCAGTCCTTGCAGCCATAGCTGAACCTGATGACTCTTACCAGCCTGATTATCTGCATCTAGCAACACAGCTTGGATGCTGGAAACCGTGCTTGCAAGTTTTGGAATCTCGCTTCTGAGACCCCAAAGGAGGCTTGCCTGATCAGCAGCAAGGGAACTCAGCTTATGGAGGACCAACTCAGCGAGAGCAGCTGCCATTTTTGGTTAGTAGGGAAAAACAAGGAAAAGCAGCACAAAAAGGGTGGTTCCGTTGTAAGCGAGTTTTGAAGGGATAGTACAAGAAAAGAGATGGGATATTTGCAGTGGAGGAAACGAAATCTGAATATAGAGGGCAATATCTAGATGTGATATGTGTGATGATTCATAATATGAACCCAGCACTGAGATCAAAGATCCAACATGAACTTCCGTCTTTCTATTAACTAATGTAAAATCCATTTGACTTGCGAACCAACTGAACAATGCACATGTGACTGCACTGACAGGTACCCTCAAATCCTTGATTTAAGAATGAGACACTAGTCCTTAATCATCTAATTTTTTCTAATACAAGAACAAATCCCACCTTTAGTTAAACTGCCTTCATCAGCTGAGCAGGTGATCCATTGACTTCTGGTGAGTGGTTGCCCCACTCGCCATTAAATTTACACTGAAGTTGCTTTCTCTTCAAAATAGTCGTAACTTGCAACATCATTATGAGTGAATAACACATTAAAAACTCAGCTCATTAAAAGCAATCGCCTTTGCTCATACAGTTACCAGGTTTTGAGAATAGCAGAGGCACAGGCATCATCGTTTAACTAGTTCTGAGAATAGCATCATGATGTGTATTACTAGTTTTGCAATTAACTGTGCCAAACAATAGCAACAGAAGAACTTGAAAGGGAAATCTACTCGTAGAAAACTCGCCAAGGAAATTGATCCACAATTGAAACATTTGGAAGCAAAAATGAATGGTAAGCTACAGGCCACAGGGAAGAAGTAAAAACCTTGTTTTCTCAAATTTGATGGCTGTGACCCTGCACTGCTGTTCTTTCAACTTTGTGATGTTCCAGCTTCCTTTTCCTTATGGCGTTGCGCTTTTCTTTGCGGATAGAACTCATTCAAACACTTGGCATGCACCATTTTTCTCCGATTGAGAATGTTTTCGATCACTGAAGGTATCCGGAAGCTGCAATAATTTATACGGATATCATCCATACCACAAGGACTTCTGAAACCCCCATTGGCCATTCTGATTTGCAGAATATGGACGCAGCCAGCGAACAGCAACTCGCCTCCAAATGCTGGTTTCCGGAACTCCCGCCGACTCCAAAGAGTTTCCTCCGCTATGGTGATCGGAAACCATCACGCCGGAGATCGGGTAACGATTCGCTGGACTAATTCAATCCTCGCAGCGCATTAGAATCGCATCCATTTGGAAATTCACTTTATAAAAGTAAATTTCACATGTGTTATCACTTTTTTACATAATCTTCTTCACAAATATTTAGAGTCAAACACCTTTTTGCAAAGAAATCTCAAATTATAACATATTACCAATTTACAAATACTTCGAATCGCACCCATAAATTGAAAATAGAAAAGGAATACCAGCTATCAATTGCACTGCATTTCCAAAGAATCTGAAACTATTCAATATACTTCAATACAGGCGAATAAGGAAGTGTCTCGTCAAACTCGTTAATACAACTCAATGTCAAATCAATTGGCTATTTTGTGCACTCCCTTGCAACCTAATTAAGCAGAGCCATTAACAGAAATCTTGAGTCTTAAACTTAACTTGTCAGCATGACACCTTCACAATTGACTATTAGCCACCTACTAAGTTGACATACAATCTACACTACGGCTTCCTAACGGCTAAACTCAGCATTACACATAGAATCCTAAGAGTTCTGGGCATGGTTGACGAGAATGACCCCTCCAGCTACGGAGCATTACAAAGCTTTGGCTGTACTGGGTTCTTCAAAAGTCGTCAAGTCTCGCTCACCAAGGCTGCCCTCTCCCTCCAATCCGGCGGGCCAAATCGAGATCCTTCTTCACTGAAGCATCAGATAGGGTATCAGCACGAAGAGAAGTAATAAGTTAACGAACAAGATCAAGACTCGGGATAATGAGAGTAAGTAGCCGTCAGTGGGTAAGATATACTCTATGAATGAATCCTCCCTGGCATTGTGTACTATGTGGGGCAAATTCTAAAATGAGCTGGAAGTTCTCAAAAAGAAACCTACTGTCACCGGAGAATCGCCGCGACTATCATTTCAGACATGGCATAATGATAGCTAACAGGGGAGACATCACTAACGGCTGGTAGGTACCAATCAAGTTCGAAATAAAACTAATCACCTTTAACTTACACACGGATGATCAGAGAATCCAAGAAAAAATACAACTGCAGTAGGGGTTGAGATAAACTTACTCAATGTAACACGTTTAGCATGAACTGCACACAGCATACCATCTTCAAACAAGTGAACCAAGAAATCCTCTGCTGCCTATGGAACAAAGCAGTTCAAATAATAGGCTCAGGGTTCAAGTGATTGTCAAGAAGTTCAAGTCATAACCTGCAATGAGTAAAAGAGAACGTAACCCAGCTACAGTCGAGCTTGAAACGTCCCTAGGCTGTTTCTTTAACTTGCATGGAGAAGCACTTGAGAACAATGTAATAAGTGGTCATGGTACCTCTTGAAGAGCCACGAGTCCTTCAGCTTGCCAACGGTTAACTTCCTGGCTAAACTCTTGGGTGACTTGTCTTACCTAGTCAGAAAAATGACGGTAAGGGCCACAAACAACAATAAACTCGAATTCTGCAATTGCACACTTTGATAAAATCATCTATAAAAACTTCATCTGTGTTACTATCAACAAGTATGAACATAGGTATTCGCCATAAATTTGAACGAGCTCTCCGCTCTTGAGACACAAACTACGTCAAACAATCCTCTAAAAACAGCTTCCGGGAGCTTTCCATGTAGAACCAACAGGCTTAAGGAAAGATAGCGAATACTCATTGGTGAGATCCTATGGTCAGCCAAGTTGAGCAAGTATACATGAGACCCAGAGACAAACTAGTTGGATTACCAGTCGAGTAAAGCTAGAAACAGGGATCATGAAACCAGTAGTCTTCTGATAAAAACGAATTTCTCGCAGAGCTCGCGTTCCAGGCCTCAATCGACGAGGCTTCCTCTGCGGACGACCTTCAACAAACAAAATGGAAATGCAAGATGAAACACCCACAATAAACGAACAGGCAAATCTGAGGTGGGGAAAAGAAAAAAGAAGCCACCAACTTTGTGAACCAGCTTCTTCTCCTGCTGCTGCTGCTCTCCTAGGTGATCTGCTTGGTCTGGGAGTCTTAAATTGGACAGGAAAGAAGACTGGAAATCAATGGAGTTGACGTGCAATATTGGAAAACCAAATTAGGGTTCCTGCAACTACTCGAGAGTCTAACTGAAATCCGAGTGTCCAAACTAAAATGCTTTTCCGCAAGTACTGGAATCGAGGAGAGAAACCCAATGGGTTCACCCACCCTTACAGCTTTTCTCGCATTTTCTACGCAACCAAACAGACAATCTAACCCCATTCAAAACAAACACCAGAAATAAATCACAGAGGGAAAGAGAGGGTACCGACGGCGGCGGCGAGGAGGACGGCCGCGTAGTCTTCTTTCCTGCAGTCAAACGAAACGGAAGAGGCAGAACTTAAAAAAAAAAAAAAATTCGCCGGCTCTATGTCTCACTGAAGCTTAAACGCAAACACTTGGGCGGCAGATGGAGAAAAAAGTGGCTATGGAAGCAGGAAAAACTTGAAGAACGGCGTTGTGCAAAAAATCAAACCGGGTTGCTTCCGAGATTGACTCCGAGCAGCTTGATGCTTGGTTCTCGCCATCGTCTTAGTCCCCGAAGGCGAAAGAAACGAGAAGGGAACGACAGAAGCGACCTAGGTGGTAGGGGCAGATTCGAATTCGATTCGATTGTGGTTTTGGGGGGAGAACGGAGAAACTTTCGATTTTTATTTTTTAATAAGTCACTTTTAACTTTTAAGACACCACTAGGTTAACGTGTTATCTCCACAATGGCTTCCTAACGGCTAAATTTCTTTAGACAGACCGTTGTTGCTCAGATGGTCGAACCGAAACCGAGCCAACCAACACGGGTCGGCGCTGAGTTAGTACGCGAAAAAATAAAGGGCTAATACCACTAGGAAACCTGAACTATTAACTTTGTGTCATTTGTGTCCTAAAGTATTCGATATGACATTTGTGTCCTGACGTATGATAGTTGTGTGTCATTTACGTCCTGACAATTTCGTTGACAGTTATAGATAACGGTTGACCAAACGGTCAACCATAAAATGTTGACTGTTGATTACATGGCACATATGCGGCAGCCACGTAAGCGCCACGTCTGTTGCCACATCAGGTGTTATTATCAAATACAAATTAACAATTAAAATACAAATTACAAATTAAGAAATAAAAATTTTAACAATTGAAATTAACAATTAAAATTATTTTCAGCCACATATCCTCATATCTTCATCCCGTCAATTTGCCCCTTCCATTTTCCGCTTCTATCCTGATTTCGAGCGACGAAGAAGATTGCGGAGAAGGGGACCGGCTCGGGGGTTCCTCTGTCAATCGAAGAAGCAGCTGGTGGGTGGGTCTTTATCAATGAAGAAGCAGTTGCAGTTAGTTCAGAATTCGCCGTCGCCGACCATATCTCTTTCTCCCAATTGCAAGCAAATATGCCTTTTATGCTCTCCGAAGTGAAATTGAACGAGAGGCAAATCAAATCCTCCCAATTGCAAGCAAATCTGCCTATTCTGGTTAGCCCAAACTGAAAGCAACTTCTGGGGAAGAAAGCAGGGTGAGATAGGGAGATCTGATTGGGGAAACCCTTTTGATTGCCGCCGACTCTTTATTCTCACTCACCCGCCCCACTCCTCAAGAAAACCCTAAACCTCTAAATGCCCAGAGGCGGTGCCGTCGGACCCTTCCCTCTCTCAACCTTCTCCCGATCTCTTCTACTTCTGTGAAACGGTTCCATTTACCGAATCACCATCCTTTGGCCACACTAATCACCTCTGCTGGTCACTCCCTTCTGTAGCCTCCAATTTGGCAAAGAAAAGCATATGAAATTTGGATTCTGGGTGAGAGCAGCTCATTATTGTGAAATTGGAATTTTGGGCAAAGAAAAATGTAATTGGCGAGGAAATCTTTAGAAAATGTGAGAGCAACCTTTTATTGTGCAAGCATAATTTGGAATTCTAGGTTCTGTGTAGACTCGGCAGAGGAGCTTTCTAAAAGATTTCCTCGCACCTCCCACCTGTGGGGGTATGCCTTCAAGATGCAGAAGAAGGCAGGTGGGAGGTGGGAGGAAAGAGCTGAGATGCGGAGGTGGGAGGTGGGAGGTTTGCGGCGACTCAAGACTGGAGGCGGGGGTAGTGTAGCAGAGAGAGAGAACGAAACCGGCGGCGGTGGAGGAAAGATCTAGCACAGGTGGTGATGGGTGCGGAATGGATCGGCGACGATGGGTGAAGAAGATGGTAGAATCGCCCAGCGAAGGAACAAGAATCGCTTCGATTGGAGTGACTAGAAGAGGAGGACTCGATTAGGGATGCAAGGAGAGGATAAGATCAGTGGAGGCGTCGATTTTGGATGCGTGGAGAGAATCAGATTTGTGGAGGCGTCAATTTGGCCTTCGGTCAATAGTATTTGGCGACGGGCGGGAGCGGAGGTGGGGAGGCAGCGAAGGGGAGAGCTGACCGGAGTTCCTGGCGGCTCGGGAAGAAGAGGAGAGGACTTATCGCAGAGGAGGAGGATTTTGGTGGTGGCGGAGGCGGTGGCTTTCAATTTCTCAATTATGTTCATTTTAATTATTTTTTTAAGCAATAGGAAAAATAAATAATAATAAAAGTTCCACGTCAGATGCCACATAAGCGCTGACTAGACTTTCTGTTAAAAACTAACGGTCAACGCTAGTCAACTCTAACGAAAAAATAGTTTAGGACACAAATGTCATATCGAATACTTTAGGACACAAATGACACAAATGTCATATAAGCTATAACGTTTATTTGGTTTGGTTACAATTTGATTCGAACTATTTATTTCTTTTTAGGGTTAACACCTTAGTTTGGCCTGAACTATAGACAAACTTTCTACTTTGGCCCGTGGTATTGAAAATTGCTATTCTGGCCTAAACTATGTAGCATACTTCCTTATTTGGCCTGGAGGCGGGTTTGACCGTCAAATTGAACAGTCAATCGAGTTGACCGTTAGTCAAGGTCGAACTCGCTTGCCACGTCAGCTAGCAGGGAATAAAAAGTTATTTTTTTTATTTTTTGTATTTTGTTTACTTTCTAATAATAAAAAAATTAAAGAAAAAAGTAATTAAAAAACATAGAAATTCAAAATACAGAAATTCAGAAAAAATGATTTTTTAAAATAATTTTTTGGTTTATTATTTAATTATTTTTATTATTAGAAAGTAAACAAAATAAAGAAATTCAATTTTTTTATCTTCTGCTAGTTGACGTGGCAAGTGAGTGGACCTTGACTAACGGTCAACTCGGTTGACCGTCTAATTTGACGCTCAAACCTGCCTCTGGGACCAAATAAAGAAGTATGCTACATAGTTCAGGACAGAATAACAATTTTCGATACCACAGGCCAAAGTAGAAAATTTATCTATAGTTCAGGTCAAACTAAGATATTAACTCTTCTTTTTATCCTCTGAAAATCCAACCAAGTAATGGGATGAGGTGGGTAGCCTAGTTCAAGCCTCAAGGTTCAATCACAGGACCCTGTACACAAAACTGTAGAAAATGGATTGTGCAGAGAGATTTAATTGACTTTATTCTCAATGTCAAGGAGACAAGGACTAACAACTAAAGTTACAATGGAAGTATCCCCAAGAACCTTCAACCTTACAAGTGAAGGAAGCCCATCTCAACATGCACAAAATTTGTCAGGCTTCTCAGGATCCTAATCCTCAACAAGAACCAACTTCAGTTCAGTTCATTTCAAGCTCTCACAGTGGAACCAAAAATGGACAACATCCCAAGTCACAGGTTGCTTCTCAAAATACCTGTAGTGGTCAGAGAAACCAAAAAAAGAGGGTAAAGTAGCCTATACACATGAGATGGCCCAAACCCAAAAGCCTCATTACATGATCCTCACTTTCATATTCATGCGAAGGAGAGAGAACTGGTTGGGTCTGAGCTCTCTTCATCACAGCATGGATAGTGAAGAAGATCCACGAGAGGTTAGAACATGGTTTTAGAACAGAGTGAAGTACCATTTGGGCCACAAATGAACTTAGTTACTGTTTCTATTCCACTCCCAGAACTTGAGACAGTTAAATCCCTATCATGAATTGCAGATAAAGAAAATAAGACCATCAGTTTTTACTTAAGCTGGGAATGGACTTTGTACTCAACAGCTGCGACCGCACCGTAGAATAGGCTTCATCGAGCCATATTTCCCATGCGGCATAGCGCACGCTAGTCATGATCTCCTTAATCGCGGTCGTTTTCAACCAACCCTTAACAAGAGCGTTACACCTTATCGAGGCATCAAGATCTTACCTTTCGTCGGGTCTCTTAACCACACCATTCACAAACCCCAATTTATATTTTGCTATAAGAACTTCTGCGATGTCAACAACCATTTGCCATAGTTTACGTAGGTTAACACTTCTTCGACGAACATCTGGTTAGGGCTATCAGCGGAATGCTGATGATGAAAGGGGAAGAGACTGGATATACCTTATAATGATGACCATCACCAGATCCTCCATCGGTGATGCCTCTGCTAGTACAATCAGTCGTCTCCTTCTCCGACTTATCAACCATTATTGAAACTCGCTGAATCTTCAGCTCAGTTATGATATCATGTAAAGAAACTAAAGCGTAAAAGAAAAGATCGCTCGAGTTTACGTGGTTTCTCCGTTTTGTGAAGAACGAGACTACTCCACGGAAGACTCCATAAGGAGCTTTCGGTTTTCTTTTATTATTGACTTTGCTACTCTCTACATCAAGCTACTAACAGCAACCAACAAAAGGCACATATATATGCCCTACAACAGCCCTAGGGTTGCAACATACAAACCTAAAACGAAATAGTTTAGGGAAAATTACAACCACCTCCCTAAACTATAGAAATATTACAATATAAAGTAGTTGTTAATTTTGAGAATTACGAAAACTCTAATACATGCTACCACATTTTGGTCGGACATTCTGATATAACATCAAGAATAAATTTATCGTAAAAACGTGACTAGTTTGAATAAATCCAAACATTAATTTTATATCGTTAGTTAAACATCTTGAACTATAAAATGTGGGTTAAGAAAACAACCATACGAGATAGAAGAAAAAAACTTCAAACCCTCTTTAAGTTAAGTCCTAGTGAAAAGAGAAAATTGTCTACTCAACAGAGAGAAAAAATATAAATTGGGAAAAATCCAATGATGAATCCTCCAACACCCTACCAGACCTCTAAGCAAATTTGCCCTATTTATTATATCCTAATTAATTAGTGGGTGGAAGTGGAACGAACTATGTGATATGTCGAACTTTAGGAATGAAAATTAATAGATTTTTTTGCATATAGGGAGGCATAAGGCCAAAGAAAGAAGAAACAAAACCAGGGAGAGAGAGGTTACGAAGGAGTAGAGGGGGAGAGAAGCTACAATACTTCGTACTAGTGAGGCCTCTATGATCATCATGCAAGATAGGAAGACGCTCATTCGGGGGTGTTTCTAGCTCATACATACCGTAGGGATAGACGAGACTGTACTTCGAGAGCAGTCCGCGATTTTATTCCCTTCTCTGTATGTATGAACTAAATTCACCACCCAATCTTGAGCAATCTTCCGCCTAATAGTTGTAAGAAGAGCAACACAAGGATGAAGAGGGTCAGTCCTGTGGTTCACCAGTTGAATGGCCAATTGAGAATCAGTCTCCAGAATGAGGGCTCTACATCCGTTGTTCCACGCCATTCGGAGACCATGGTAAATAGCACAGAGCTCTGCCACGGTAGTTGTACACAATCCCAGGCTGGAGACGAAACCTCCTATCCAAGTGTTGCTGTCGTCGCGAAGCACTCCTCCCGCCCCGGCGATTCCCATATTCTGGTTAGCAGCCCCATCAACGTTCAATTTCCGCCAGTCGGCCGGTGGTGCCCTCCATCCGATTTCAGCGTTAAGTCTCCTAGGGAGAAGGTTGGTCCGCCCAACTGTCAGCCTTGGAGCATTCCAAGCCCGAAACCACAACTCAGCTTTAATTCGTGTTGCTTGCAACAAAGAAGGAGCCGACAAGGATTTGTTAATCAGCTGATTTGAAAAATTAATAGATGATATAGTAATAGTAACAATCAGCTGAAGGCTTGTAATCCACAATCATAAACAAAGAAAAAACAAGCCAAATTTCCCAACGTGATAGAATAACAACCGTGGCAAGAGCTCAACCCTTCGTTATCACAATTATATAGTTTAGTAGCAAAGGGTGACAATCCACATGCAAATTCAAGCCATCAGACAAACAATCAATTCATGGGTTTTTTGGAGTTGTATAAGTGAGTGTATGCATGTTATGTAGCTAGCTATGCACACATTTAGGTTTTAGAAGAAGCATGAATTAATGAAGCAATGACTTCTAAGTTCTAATGTTGGGGAAATTAGACACAAGATAGCCCTACTTTCTTCGTTAATCCCAACATTCCCGTTTTGATCATTTCCTGAGCGGAGGAGTTACGGTGCTAATTGTACAATAGTTAGCACCGTCCTAACCAAGGGAAAAACTACTACTAGTTTGAATTAGTAGTGATTTAGTTTAGATGTTGTATTGATTTTATAATAATCCGTAGTGATTTCATTATTTTTAGTAGCGTTTTTTGCTAGTTATCACGGTGCTAACCCCTATAAGGGTTAGCACCTAATCCCATCCCTTTCCTGAGAGGCTAACATGTATCCTTTAAGAGAATGCATGCGCAGTCTTATTTTTCTTTTGGGCAAGCAAAACGCTATAATGTGACGCTATAATGCTTCGAGTTACATCGTGTGGAAATATAAAAATAGATAAGTTTAGATTTAGAGCTGGAATCAATCGATTTGTCAATAATATGCAAGTCGTAAGAAGAGAAAATGTCACTGATAGATGATTGAGGTAATCATTCATGAATTATCTTCCAAACTAAATATGAATCGAATGATTATATAAGTGTCCTAATTTCTTATTTCACTTCTTAGTGGCAGACACATGAGAGTTTGGGGGGGAAATTATTGACCACTTGTTTGTAGTTGAATTTAGGGTAGGGGCGGGTGTATGATTTTTAGGGGTGTTCGGGATACCCATAAAATTTGTGAAAAATAGAGTATAATAATATTATGCCCAATTCTAGTTAATTCATAGTATAAATAACAAAATTCTATGGGTATATGATATGGTAAGCGTACGCTTGGTGTACCGTACCAGCCCTCCGACTAGAAAAAGGCAAAACCGCCATGATGAGGTATTTAGTGGTATGAAATGGTTGAATCCCAATCAAACCACGATTTTAATATAAAATACTTCAACGCTGAATTTTTTCATTACAACCTAAAATCTAGGGTACGACATACCCTGAGTAAGAAAATGCTATTTAGACCTTGAATTAATCGGATGTTTAGGCATGATACTATACCCTTACCCTTGATGAGTAAACTCTAGGACTTAGTTATCTAAATCATAGATTCTAACCCCTAAGATTATGCATGTAATTTTTTTTGCATATATTTCAACTAATCATGATCGTCAATTTTTGTTTCTTATTAAATAGATCTTAGTGTATGAGATCTATATAAACCGGTTAATTCAATATCTAGATATCGTTTTTTTTTATTCAAAGTATGTCATACATTTAATTTTACCCAAAATACAATAGAACCAGTGGTAAGCTACAATGATCTTATCTTCTTTTCTATCCATTTAAAGGGTAAAAAAATAGTTCATTCTCATTCTCATCCAGCTGTTCTTTGTAGGTCATACCACATAAATATTCGAACTACCCCCTTCAATACAGAATTGACAAAATTCTGAACTACCCTGTTGGGGAAAAAGGACCAGTCTACAGCCACTGTGGTAGTAATAAGCATTCAATACTATTTAAGATGGTCATTGCTGCAACATAATCAGAGGGCAGATATAGGAACTGGACCAAAACTTTTAACTATTTCTATATCATACATAGCAAAATTATGCTTTGCTTATAATATCTTGTATATTCAAGCGGTGGTCAAATAGTCGATAATATAACTATATAAGTACTACTATCATAGTATCATACTTACGGCTAGAAACAATTCACAAAACAAAATTTTCTGAGACCCATAAAAAAAGACAAATTAATATTTATAATTTACGTACCTTTAATCATACAACAACGCATCACCGAGACTATGTAGACATAAAAGCATAATCTAGTGATTTGTGTTAATAAGGTGTACGAGCTTAATTTCATGATTATAAGATTAAGGGTGCAAGCCAAAACAATGTTAGGTTTGAAACTGCTTAAAATGTTTTAAAAAAAAAATTCTGAGTTTCGAGATCGATGGTAAACTAAACTCGATAGTGGGGAGCAATATCGATTGCGACCTTGATGAAGTACCCTTTTCTAACAAAGTGAGAAAATAAAAGTCACACGAGGAGTCACCATTATTAGGAAAATAATAATTGGCTAGACATCATGGCTACGGTGACACTTTTTATTATTCAAAGTTTGCTACTTATTATTGCAGTGTTCTTTTTGAAACTACACCCTTTAGATTAGGTAGCATAGTTCTCCCTCTGACATGTGCTTATATCATAATACTTAGATGGCTTGATGTTAGTAGTGGATTGGGTGATAATTAACATTCTTTTATTCCTCTACAAAGATTACTTCTATAGTTCTATTGCATCCACTTATTCATTCAACTCTCGATTTGACTAAATTAATCATGTGAATTGTATATTAAATGGTGTTGATGAGTGACACAAAGATGCGTTGGAGAGGAAATCTGATTAAGGTAGAGTGAGAGTTTGTGCCTTGTAGCATAATTGATTTTGGGTATGTAATTTTTTTTCTTTTTAATTATGCGAGTTTAGAATCACTGTGGTGCTTATAAAGATATAGGGTAAGAAAAGTAGAAAACCTTACAATATGTCATTGTTCACAGTCATATGGTTGTTTTCTCCATAAATGCAGGCAAACACAGTTTTCATAATTCTTCTGAACGTAAATTTTTTTACCTATCATTTTATGTCATTGACTACTTTGAACGACGTGATTCATCTCCTGATTGTTAGAGTAAACGGTCAAATTCATAAACAAAACATTTGAATGTTAGAACCAATCGCTTCCCAATTAACCAGGTTGTCGTAGATAGCCACTCCACTTCTTAGATAGTGAATTTCACAAACCTCAATCAATTATAAGAAGAAGGTAAAAAACTAGTATTATCGGAACTAACTTCAGACCAGTCTTCCTCGATCGTTCTGGCATTGATATCTTTAGATCAATTATGTGTTAGTGAAAAGCTAGTATACTAAGCTTGTTTGGAAGTTGTGATTCTTCAAATTGATGTATTGAGACAATTAGTGTATTATCATTTGATGTATTAGGCAAATATCTTGTTTGGAGGTTTAGATTGTGTTTTTGTTCTAAAGGTAAAAAAGTTAGTTTTGAGTGATTGTGAAGAATCTCAACAAAAAGTAGAGATTGTAAGTCTCTCAATATTGAGTGATTGTGGTGGGACCTCCAAAAAGTAAATGCATGTATTCTACTTCTATATAAGTCAAAACAACAACTTAGGGGTCGTTTGGAAGCTGCGAATGTTAAATCGTTGTATTGTAATGAATCACTATAATATAAATGCATGTATTGATACAATGGATGCATTTTAACAATACATTGTTTGGTTGTTGAGATTCTACTTTATGCATTGATTTACATAAAGTTACTTTTATGAAGAAATGTCACATTTACCCTCAACTTTTAGAATAAGACAAAAAACTATTGGGAATATAAATGGAAAGAAAAAATTGACACAAATCTAAAACCAACAATCACAACTTTTAGTTGAGATTGTATAATGCATAATTTTTTGTGATTGTTGGTGGGACCTACTTAAAACAATGCATGCATTGTTTAACACTTTGGCACTTCCAAACATTGTATTGTGCACAATACATGTATTCAACAAACACAACTCTAACAATCACAACTTCCAAACGAGTTCTTAATCTCACAAATACATGAATTAGCTCAATACACCATTTGAAATCACAACTTCCAAACTACCCCTAAATAACATTGTTTGTCGTTCATATAAAATATCTTCTGTGCACTGTTCCCCTTGGACCAAAACTCACTTTAGGGACATAATGGCATACAACAAACTTATCCTTTCCCGGTTAGTGTCGGTAAAATAACAGAAATTCATTATAATACACCCGAACGCAGCTGATCTCGCCACCTTCATAAAACTTTTCCCTCCAAATAAACGCAAACGTGTCGTGCATCTATTGGCCAGTGCTCAACTACTTCTCCCTTTTTCCCGCAATAATCCATTTACAATTTTCCCTCGATTCGTTCATACTTGATCTTTCTTCCATCCATTCAACATTTCACTTCATTTTCAACTCCATTTTTACTAGGAATTCGACCTCCTTCTGGCTATAAATTCAAAATGAAGAGACCTTCCCATGCCATTTCTAGCTCCCGACTTCCCGCTTTTCCCCCTTTTCCCTTTCTCCTCCGCCGGCGGGAAATCCGTAATCGGAAGCTTTTTTTGCTTTTCCCCACCCTAACATGGCCGGAGAGTTCGAGACGTCGGTCGAATACGGGCTCAAGCTGTCCAAGCGAATCTACTACGGGAAAGAATCTGCCACCGTGGCGCCGGCGGCATCAACCCCGCCGGAGCCGGTGCGGCAGATGTCCAGGAGGTCGTCGACCGGCGGCAGTGGCACCGACCAGCAGATCAGTTTCCTGCCGACGGCGGTCACGGCCTACGCGGTGGTCTCGGAGCCGGAGGCCGTCGACAACCCCGACGTGCCGAGCTACCAGCCGTACGTGCACGGCCGGTGCGATCCCCCGGCGCTGATACCGCTCCACATGTACGGGGCCGAGCTGGAGGTGGACTGCTGCTTGGATCACGCGCGCGTGGGGTTCTCGGGACGGTGGCGCGTGCACTGCGTCAAGACCGGGCGGAGCTGCGACTGCCGCGTGGCGGTTCCGATGGGGGAGAAGGTTAGTGATCGGATTGAATGGCATTGCCAGTTTTGTTTATTTGTGGTTAGGTCGGCAAGTGTTCGATGAAATGCTTGTGTGGAGAAATTGAGGGATGGGAAGATTGATTGATGCTTGGCTAATAATGAGTACTAATAGCAGGGTACAATTCTGAGTGTAGAGGCTGAAGTGACGGGAAGGTTGTACCATAGCCGATTGATGAAGGCGGAGGATGCAGAGGAGTTGTCGAAAGCAAGCAAAGCAGTAGGCGGAGATGGGCGGTACTTGAAAGGCAACATCTACACTTTCAGAATTCCACAGGTGAAAAGAAACGTTTCGTCCCCGTTTATTACCAGTTTTCATTTGTTGAAAGATCACAAAAAACAGCCTATGAGAACTTTCAATCAAGCCTATGTTGCTACGGCAGACTCTAAAACCATCTCAGGAAACTAAGTTGTCCAGATAACTAGATCTCCCAAGATGTACCTTTTTACTATTGTTTGACTCATTCATCTACATGGATGGTGCTATTTGCATTGCTACTCAAGTCATTTCTGTTTCATCCATGTATTCATGGGGCTTGTTGTGGTGTTGTTTGTATGGTCTTATTAGATTGCAGGGGGTTCTATGGTATCAGTAAAAGTGAGCTGGTCACAGAAGTTGGTATATCGAGGTGGTCAATTCAGTCTCGACGTGCCATTTAGTTTTCCACCATTTGTGAATCCGATCGGCAGCAGGATTTGCAAAAGAGAGAAGATATTGTTGAATGTGAAGTCTGGTATCGACAAGGAAATCGCATTCAAGAGCAGCAGCCATGCCTTGATGGTAACTTTGATCATCTTGATTCTGTTCTGAGAATACGCCGCAGGCTTAGGACGAAGATAGACTTTGAATATGTTCGCTGGCGGTTTTCTCTAATTCACAGGAGTTGAGGCGAGAAGTTGGTAAAATGGGTTTTTCATATGAAGCAGAAGTCAAGACTTGGTCGGCTTCCAACTTCAGTTTCTCATACTCTGTACGTGTGATGCTATGAATGAATTCTGTGCTATGATTCTGTGCCTTGGATGGAACTGACTTAAGCTATGATTCTGTGCTTGTTTATGCAGGTCTGCTCTGCGGATTTGTTTGGTGGTGTGCTCTTGCACACGCCATTTCTGAGAGAGTTCGAGGAAAAACAAATGTTCTGTTTGCATCTCTTCCCTGGAACTAACCAACTTAGGAAGGTTAGCTACTCCACTGAACTAATCCTTATCAATTCTTCTGCCTGCATCTCATGATACTTAAATCCCAATTATTCCTTCATTTTGTTTGTCTCCTGATAGGCTTTTAGGAAGAAGGTGGTATTTTTAGTTGATATCAGTGGGAGCATGAAAGGAGATCCTCTTGAAAGCACAAAAAATGCAATAATGTCATCACTGTACAAGCTGAATCAGGAGGATTCTTTTAACATCATCGCTTTCAACGGGGAAATGTACTTATTCTCGCCCTTGATGGAGCCTGCAACCAAAGAAACAATAGTCAAAGCTAACCAATGGATTAATGACAAGTTACTTGCAGGAGGGGGTACCAACATTTTACCTCCTCTTCAGCAGGTATGGCAAATGCTGCAAGTTTAAGGAGAGGTCTATGCAGTCTCCTTTTTCTTGTCCCCAAGCATTGTAAAGACAATGACTTTGTAATACACCGTATTGTTCAGGCTATGAAGCTCTTGGCTGAAACAACCAATTCAATTCCTCTCATTTTCCTCGTCACTGATGGAACCGTTGATGATGAGAGAGACATCTGCAATTTCGTCAAAGCTTCACTTGCTAGTGCATCAACTGGAACTTCCATTCCTCCTCGCATATGTACATTTGGCGTAGGTAAGGGTTTTCTCTTCGGGGGATTAGAGTATCCATTTCCAGGTGCAAAATCGAGAACTATAAATCACATACCTACGATCAACACAATTATTAACTCTTTGTGAAAAAACCTTTTCCACAGGTTCATTTTGTAATCACTACTTCTTGCAAATGCTGGCTCAAGTTGCCAAGGGCCATTTCGATTGTGCTTTCGATACAGGTCAGTCCAGATACCCGGATTCAATAAATATTTCATCTGTTGCTTGCTGCTATCGTCGTCTGGTTAATCCAAAATCTGGAATTGGGAACTTCCCATTTTTCTCATTGGCCAGATTCAGTTGATTCTCGGCTACAGAGACTATTCACGACTGCTTCATCTGTTCTCATATCCAACATTAGCATAGACTTCCTGACACATCTTGATTCACTTGAGGTACATTGTTCCGTTTCACCAGAATCGCAGTACAAATCCAACGAATCAGGAGCCATCCTATTTCCTGTTCTCCAATTCTCATTCACTAATGCTTCTGAGGAATTCAAAATGCAGTTGCTTCCATCTAGTATTCCAGACCTTACTACTGGAGCTCCACTGCTAGTGTCTGGGAGATACCACGGGACTTTCCCAGAGTTCGTCAAAGTTATAGGGACGTGGGCAGATATGACTCATTTTACCATGGACGTGAAAGTCAAAAGAACGAAGGATTTGCCTCTAGACAGAGTAATATTCCGTCTGAAGTTCCGATGCCAGGAATGCCAGCTCCCTTTTCTGAATTGTCAAAATTTGTTCTGAAGTCATTCAGATTCCTTGCTTTTCTTGTAGGTACTTGCTAGAAGGCAGATCGACTTGCTTACTGCTACGGCATGGCTATCACAAAGTAAAGAACTTGAGGACAAGGTTTGCTTCTGAACTTTCAGATCATGCTCATCAATCCAAAGCCATTATTGTAGTAGTAAACAGATTTCCATTTGTCAGGTTGCCAAATTGAGCATACAGAAAGGGGTTCCATCTGAATACACCCGTATGATTCTGATTTACACTGACAAAGGAGAGAAACCACCAGAAACCCATCTAGTAATGGAGGTATGTATACATCACACCACAATCCAGCTCCCTAACATCCTACCTTTCTAACTTCAAACTGAAGTAATTTAAATATCAACTTGATCACCAAGCAAGCTTTTAACATTTCACATCCTACAACTTCTTTTCCTGATCAAAACCAGGTATTCAGCAAATTGAACTCACTGAGGAGCCTTCAGCTGGGATCCGAATCAGCAGAGAAGCAGAACATCTACCTAGGGAGCAGCTTAGGCATTGGCTTAGGCAACCTAGTCGCCACAGCTCGGAACATTCCTCCTGGAAACGAGGAGGGGAAGCAGCCAGACGCGGCGGCGAAGCTGGCCAACGCGGCTTCCAGCTGCTGTGGCGCGGTGGCCGATCGCGTTTGCTGCATGTGCTTCATCAGGGCTTGCTCGCACACCAGCAAACAGTGCTCCATCTTGGCGTCTCAGATCTGCGCCGCGCTGGCGTGCTTCGAGTGCATCAGCTTTTGCTATGAGCTTTGTGCTTGCGAGTGAAAAGTATCCGAGGACCTATTTATGTTCATAACTCGTAGGAGTATGCAGTGTATATCATCTTCCCAAGTTGGCCTAAAGCTGATAATATGGCCTTTGCATTAGCCATTTTAAATAATGATTTGGATACTTGTTCATTTCAACTTCTCTGGCGAGAGGTTAATAATTAATAAGGAAAAAATCCCAAAGTACACTAGTTTTTAAAAAAAATTTCCAAAATACATAAGTTATAAAAAAATTTCCAAAAGTACACATGTTTGAGCATCACCGTTTTAGACAAAAGCGGTGAAGGTCATCACCGCTTTTGACCAAAACGGTGAATACTTCACCGTTTTAAACTAAAACGGTGATGTATTCACCGTTTCAAACTAAAACGGTGATTGCTTCATCGCTTCAGTGCAAGGCGATGATTGTATCACCGCCGTGGAGAAAGGCGGTGAAGCACTGAACTGCGTCCAAACTTTAAAACAACGTAACTTTGTGCTCGGTTATCCGATCGTAGCGAATTTTTTTTTTGATTCCGCATAATTTTTCGAGATCTTGCAAGCCGCAAACTGCCGGAGGCGGTTTGGTCCCGCCTTCGTCTCGAAAAAATGTCGTTTGCTACCCCGAACGAGCCTTTTTTCGATTTCGTCAAACTTTGAACGACCATAACTTTGTGCTCCACAATCCAAAAATCATGAATTTTTTTTTGATTCCGCATAACTTTTTAAAGAAAACACGGTCATCCGATGATTGATTATTGTCAGTATCTATCACTTTTCACTATTTATTCAACATATGAATATATATTCGATAACCTCGTATTAAACTTAAAGAAAACACGGTCATCCGATGATTGATTATTGTCAGTATCTATATTTGAGTTCACATCTCACTTAAATGTAGGGGTGTGTAATGCTTCGGTCCGTACCGAATTAAATTGAAGTTTGGACCAGACCACACCAGACTGAGTATAATGCAATCCGGTATTTGATTTGCATGCATATTACAATCACTAACGAAATTATGAACCGAAATAATATTTGGACCGGATCAAATCGGATCAAATGGACCGAATCCAATGATGATCCAGCTCTTGGTTCTCATGAATTTGGTTAGGTCCCAAATGGACCGAATCGTTGCACACCCTACTTAAATGTACCAACCATGTTATAGACAAAATAACTACTCAAATATGCACATTTATTATTATTACTATATATAAATGTGAAGTAGGTTTACTGTTGCCTAAATTATTATATTTTGATACCCCAAATTTAATTTAATTACAACTTAGTCACTATAATGTACATTTTACATTTTGATACCCCAAATTTAATTTTAATGTAAAATCATTGAATAATTATGTTTTTGCTATCTAAATTTTATGAGATTTTCTTACCTATAATTTTTTACATTTACATATTAATATATATAAAGGTGAAATAGGTTTACTGTTGCCTGAATTATTATATTTTGATACCCCAAATTTAATTAAATTACAACTTAGTCACTATAATATATATTTTACATTTTGATACCCCATATTTAATTTTAATTTAAAATCATTGAATAATTATGTTTTGGTATATAAATTTTATGAGATTTTCGTACCTATAATTTTTTTACATTTACATATTGGTTCAATGTTTAGATTTCACTTGAATCCATGAATCAAATCCACCAATCCTTTTGAACCAATTAATGAATCCAAGCCACCGTAACATAAAAGTAAAAATTTAGTTTGTACCATACAATATGTTGTATCACTCAATTGTAGGAGAAGATTCGAACAATTTATATTTGCTCATTACGTGAAACATTAAATAAATGATAAAAGGTAGACGATTCTAAAATGTTGTGAAAGCCAATTTATAAACTCATTTAGTACATTTACGGGATACTAAACAAACTTCTACTAACTACATGTAACAAAAAAATGCGACATCTACATAAGAAAGTGTCAATAAATTGCTACGATAAAAAGGGTTGACTATTGTATTGACGGCCAACTAAAAGAATTGGTCAAAACTTTTCCATTATCTACTTACTCTTCGTTTCATTTTTCACTCGCCTTCCATAACCCTTTTCTTTATTTCTTTCTTTGTCTTCTTCTTCTAACCCTAATTAGTATACTATTATTTTTATGTATTCTAATCACAACTATGAACGAGTCCATGCACGACTGAACAAGAGTCTAGAGAATTAATAATTGAACCATAAACCACTAAATTTTTCAGCTCAATGTCGAGTCCAATTAAAAATTAATATATATGGTTATTACTTTTTAGACAAACGTCATTTTTCACTATGGGATTTGAAGATGTGAAATTTTGAACGAGTTTCCTTATAAAAAAAGAAATTTTAAACGAGTTCCAGTTTGTATAACCTAAAATTATTTTTTTTTGGCATATAAGTCCTCAAAATATTGATGGAACATTACATTTTAGTAGCTAAAATTTTTGTGTATTACATTTTAGTACATGAACTTTTGAAGTTCTACAAATAGGTCTAATTTTTGTATGTGTAATTAAAACACCCTCGAATAAATGAGTATCTGTACCCAACACATACACATTTAGATTATGAATGAAAATATCCATACCGTATCCAAACCCATCTACAAACTTCCAAACCCATATATATGTCACTCATACCCTACCCATAATCAATAGATCTACTTAAATTTAGGTAAATATCATTTAATAATCAAAAATTTTAAATTGAATGTTGACCGCCACCACCAAAGATAATAAAACCACCTTCAAGCCGTTGCGGAGCTCGGCCACCACCTATCTAGTTACTATATATAAACTTAAAATCATTTTACTGTTCACTAAGAGTTTTTACTAATCTCACACTACTGTCATTTTCCCCTTATCTACAGCTCTATAACATTGTCAATTTGTGGCGATGTAGTAAGAATTGAAACAATGTATAGCTTAATTAGCTGATGAAACTGTAACTTTTCTATCCTGCTTGAGATGTCTTAGAGTTATCTATTCCAATATATTTTTCATTATGGAGAAACTTTGTAATCAATTTAGTTTTTTCATTTGTGGGGTTTAATAGCTATGGTTGAATATTATGTATATTACTTGATTTATCAATATGTATAATTAACTAATGAAACTGTAACACTTTCTTTATTTCTTTTGTTGGATTTTACAAACCTGCTTGAGAGGGTTTTACGGTTATTTATATATTCCAACATATTTTCCAATCTAGAGAAACTTCATAATCAATTTAGCGCTTCTTTTGTGAGGTTAATAACTATGACTGAACCTTATGTATATTACTCGATTTATCAATTTTTTCACATATGCTATAAAGAAAATATTGCATTAGTGGTCACTAACTTTATATTTGTGTCTCAGTATTGGTCACCTCCTATCTAATTCCGTTAAAAATTCTTACATAAAAATTAACAATCCCAATTTGGAAGTCAAGTTAATGACATCTCAATTAAAAAATATTATTTTTAATTTCAACTTCTTGTCCTTTTCCCATTCCTTATTGTCTTCAATCGTCGAATCCGGGCATGCACAAGCCCATGTAAGTTAAGGAGCTCTATGCATTGGTTCGAGCTTTGGAGACTTGACAACATTACTTGTGGCCACAAGTAATGTTGTTATCCATACTGATCATGAATCTCTCAAGTATTTGAAGGCCCAAAACAAGTTGTACAAGAGGCATGCTCGTTGGGTTGAGTTCATCGAGTCCTTTCCATATGTGATCAAGTATAAACAAGGGAAGGAGAATGTAATTGTTGATGCCTTATCACGAAGACATACTTTGGTCGCATCCATGGATGCTACGTACATTGGTTTCGAGCAAATCAAGGGGCACTATGAAGGGGGTTTTGATTTTGGAAAGATCTACAAGTCATGTGGGAAGCAAGGAGAAGGAAGATTGTATAAGAGTGATGGCTACCTATTTCATGGGAACCAATTGTGTGTCCCAAGAACATCACTTCGAGAGCTATTATTGAAGGAAGCTCATGGAGGAGGATTGATGGAACGTCGACAAGCTAAATCAAAAGTGCAGTCAATTGGATTGTACACACCGTTTTCTAAACCATATGCACCATGGGTTGACATCTCAATGGATTTTGTGCTAGGATTGCAGAGAACAAGGAGAGGCAAAGGTTCCATCTTTGTGGTGGTTGATCGATTTTCAAAGATGACACACTTCCTTCCATGCCATAAGACTGATGATGATGTAAATGTGGCCGATTTGTTCTTCAAGGAGGTCATGAGATTGCATGGAATGCCTCGTACTATTGTGTCTTAGAGAGATGAAAAGTTTCTAAGCTACTTATGGAAGACGTTGTGGAGCAAACTATGGATAAAGTTGTTTTCTGCAACTTGTCATCATCAAATGGATGGACAAACTGAAGTGGTAAATTATACTCTATCTCAAATGCTTCGAGCAGTGATTAAGAGCAACATCAATGTTTGGGAAGATTGCCTACCTCATGTGGAGTTTGCCTACAACAAAGCAGTGCACTCGACAACAAAATACTCACCTGAGCTCGTGTATGGTTTCAATCCACTTACACCTTTGGATTTGACTCCATTACCATTAAAGGAGCAAGTGAACATGGATGGAACAAAGAAGGTCTAGTTTGTGATGAATCTTTATGAAAAAGCAAGATTGTATGTACAGTTAGGGCTGGAAGTTTGGTACCGGTATTTGGGATAAACCGAATACCGTACCGAATTTGTCTATATTTGGAAGTTTGCTACCGTTGTAAGGTCAACTTGATAAAGAGGGAGTTTAACAAGCTTGCACAAGGGGGGTTGAGCTTCATGTTAAGGAAGAAGTTCCAAGGTAGAGTGTTCTTAGACTTCTTCTAATTCATGTCTTGTGTAGTGAGGTATGAGTCCTAACTTACTTTTACTAACACTCTAATCAATTGCCAAGTGTAACCACAGATCAAGGAGTAGTATAGTGGAATTAAGTCTTAAATGTTAATCTATGGCTCTAGATGTATTATTACTCAGCAAATTAATTGTTATTTAGCAAACAAGTTGTAGTGTTGATTACTAAATATTTAAGAAACAAATCAGGTAAATTGATTCGAATTCATATGCGAGAAGATCACCCAGGTATGCTTCCCCCTAGTCTTTAGTTAATTCGATGTCGTTAAATCTCTAGTTGTTTCACTTGATACTCTTACTGCGGAAAGTTTGGAATTAGTTTA